TAACCTCATTATATTGAAATATACTGTGTAGGCGACGCCAAATCGCTCAATGTTTTTAAAGGCCACTTTTTTACACGATTTTGTGATCAAATTACTTGAAAGTAAATGAGTACTTACGAGTTTTAAGTACCTAATTAAATAGACAAAGTTTTCTCTCCTTTGGACTAAAAACGCCCCAATTCCAAGAATTAACGTAAATAAAATAGTTGTAGGTTACGATGAGATAAGTTACTATTTACGAAGTTTCAGGCGGATGTTAATAATTCGATAAAAAGGGTTTGTGACTATAAAACGGACTATAAAAAGGACTACTATACTTAAGTGTAATCAATATAGAAAAAAAAATTATTGAAGTGGAAGTTTATTTTTTTTTATTTTATTTTTTTTTTTATTGATTGAATAATATAACATTCTGTCACTAGAACAATGGTTATAGAAAGGTAAGACTACATTTACACGATATATACAAAAATAAAAAAATACACAGAAGCAACATAACGCATGTGTTTTTTTTTTGTTTTTTTTTCTTAGTTTTAATTTTTTTATTTTTTAGGTTATTTTATTTTATTATAGATTGTATATAATTTTGATTATTATTTTGTTTCTATTTATTTTATTTATTTTTTTTTTTTTTTTTGTACATAGAGTGTGAATATCATCCTACCTCACTATAACCAATGTCCAAGAGACATATTGTTATAATACTCAATAAAAAAATAAAAAGAAGCAACATAACAACTTTTTTTTTTTTTTTTTTTGACTTGATTCTTCAACTCACACCTGTCAGAAGTTCCGACAATCAGCGAGTGTGATGTCAAGATGAAGAGATTGGTCTTGGAATAGGCGTGAGGGAGAGGAGTACCCAGCGGCGTCGTTCCTGTCTTGAGCGTAATATTTCTAGTTAGTGGAGGAGATCCCTCATCCAGCTTCTTTTAAGCCTCCTTCGGGTGCTATCGGGCATGTTAGTTGTGGCCATGCCTCGAATCAATGAGTTTGTATGTCCGTGTAAGTTATTATGAAATCGTTTGTAGTATGTTCGTATGTGGTCGTTAACTGTTGGCATCTGTAAGTCTTTATGTAGAGTAATGTTACTGACGTACCAGGGAGCAAACATAACAACTAAATAATAATCGCAAAGTATATACAATAAATAAAATAACTTAAAGATAAGAAACTAAAAAAAAACAAAAAACAGATACATACCTTTATACACTATTTACAATCAGGCGAGGGATCTCCGAGGTAGGCTTGTCCCTCGAACTATAGAAGGAAAAGCAGGACTCCGGGAGATCCCTGCGCTACTCTCACCGCGTCAGTGGTGAAGTGTAAGTGTAAATGCATAATTTTTTATGTACCTAATAAAACTGATGAGAAAGCTATACTAATTTACTTGACAGATTTTTTTTATATGGCAATGAGAGCAAAGGAGTCAGCCATAAAAGAACATTCTCTTTATCGTTATCATTATCTCGTATGGTTTCGAATGTTCTCACTTTGGTAATTTCTATTTAATCTTATCGCTAACTCCTCCATAATAATCTTTATAACTCCATTTGCAAAGCCTTCTGTTTCTAGAATGCTAATTTACAATATTGTGATGAAATTTTGGATCATATAATTCACGATTGCATTAATTTAAATTGGACAAAAATTTCCTTATAATGAAGATAGAGAGTTTGTCATTGTTAAAACCATTTAAAGAGGACTTTTAAACGCCTAAATTAGGCTAAGTTCTGTTTTTAAAAAAATCATAAATTATTCGCGATTTTTTTTTAATTATCATTCAACTACACTACAGATACCCCACGTTTGGAAAAATTTCCTCATTTAATTAACTTTAAATCCATATTAATTAAGTTGAGCTTTATAAGAGAAACAATTGAGACTCTCCTCAACTTTAATTGAAAAGTGTTCAGCAATTTTCAACAGAAAAGGCGTTACTTTGCAACACGATAATGCAAAGACGAACCCTGTAAATAATTAATGTTAGGTAAATAATTAAGGTAGGAGTTACTGCCACATCCACCATATTCACTCGAAGTTGCACCATCGGATTTCCATTTATTCCTATCACTTTAACACTTCCTAAATGGCAAAAGATTTGAAAATTTGAACGATTTATTCTATATATTTTGCTCTAAAATAAATCGATCCTTATCGATCCGGCTTTGAAAATGTGAACACCAGTTGAAAAAGGTTTTTTGGTTACGTCATTGATTTTAAAAAAATCTGGTGCGGTGCGCTCATCACACAAGTTTCACTCTCCACCCTCTTCATAGCAGAAATAAGTATTTTCATACAAAGGGGTAGTGAAAGCAAAAATTACAGACGCCTTATTTATTTATATTTCATTGTGGGTATTTTTATTTTTTTAAGTACCCATGTATATACAAATTTTAATATTTATATCGCTGTAATATATATAATTAAATATTTAATAATACTAACGATATCATTTATGAAAAAAATGATGTTTATGTACATAATATTGTAGGAATCCGTACTATATTATGCTCATGTTACGTATGGAAGCTTGTTATAATCTTTCGGATGCTCTCGTATTCCTTTGGTTCCTCAATTGCAACCATTCTCCGTTAAGATATCTTATTTATTCTTTAGTTAGTTATGAAATTCCTTCATATTATCTATTCTTTACTACAAAGATCAATGTGAAATGGTTAATTGTATCAAATAAAAAAATAATAAAGGTACTTTAGGGAAGCTAATATTGAAAATTAGCCATTTGAGCCCTGTTAGACAAGATCAATGAGAATAAAGCCTGCATTATTTTTTAGACTGCTTAATTTTACACTGATATCAAGAATTTAATCAAAATCATTAGAATAGTTTTCGAGAAAATCGTGTTACATCGATGAGATAAAGTACCACTTCCGGTTGCCTATTTTGACGAAAAAGTTGCTGTAACATCTCAGGCATATAAAAATCTTTTTTTTTTCTTTCTTTTCTTTTTGTATTATTTCTTACTGATATTAACAACTGTATTAAATAAATACACATCTAGTAAATTTGAACATATGGATATAATGACATGAAAACACTTGCTGAGTAACTACCCATTGGTAGCACTCTAAGGATATGTCTACTTTAGGAGATCACGGGGCCATCTTCTTTTCAGATTGCTCGGAGGGCTATCAGGAATTAAATAGGAAGCAAGGTTAGAAACGAGAGGGTTGGGATGGTTATGAAGTTTATTATGGAAGAACAGGTATCTGGATTGGGCCAGATCTGAAACAATAAGGTCATTATGGATGGTTTTATTTGTGACTTGAATAATGAATAGTAGATAATACAGGTTATCTCGTCGTACATCTCGTCGTAACCTACAACTATTATATTTATGAAAATTCTGGATATTGGGGTGTTTTCAATCTGGAGATTACTAAACTTTCTCTATTTAATTACATACTAAAAAGTCGTAAATGCCTATTTACTTTCCACTTCAATTGTAAGATACTTTAACCACAAAATCGAAAAAAAATTTAGTCTTCAAAAATATTGAAAATATTTGGCGTGACCTACGCCTCCAAAATGTCAAAATAACGAGGTTATGTAGTCAAAACGGCCCAATATTTTTGTAGCCCACCTTTTTACTCGATTTCGTGATCAAATTATCTTACGATCCACGTAAAAAGTAAATAGGAATTTAGGAGTTTTTTGTACCTAATTAAATATACAAACTTTGCCGATCTTCAGATTGGAAATGCCCCCCCATAATATCCAAGAATATTCATAAATCAAATAGTCGTAAGTTACTATGAGATGAATCTATTCACGAAGTTAATAATTTGATAAAAAGGTGTACACCACTGACTATAAATAACGAATAACAAATAATTATCTGTTGAAGGGTCATCTAATAAGAATAACAAATAAAATATATTATTCGTTATCTATGGTGTATATATATGTTTTTATTATTAATGATATTTACAACTGTATTAAAGGAATATGTCTAGTAAATTTGAACATATGGTTATAATGACGTGAAAACACTTGTTGAGTAACTACCCAATAGTAGCTCTCTAATGATATGTCTACATTAGGAGATCACGGGGCCATCTTCTTTTCAGACGTCTCGAAGAGTTATCAGGAATTAAATAGGAAGCAAGTTTGGAAAGAGGAGGGTTGGGATGATTCTGAAGTTTATCATGGAAGGATAGGTATCTGGATTGGGCCAGATCTGAAATATAAGAAACATTAAGATCATTATGGATGATTTTATTTGTGACAAAGTAAGGAGCATTGAAGATTTTGGATTGTAAGGATTGGATACGAAAGGAATTCGATGGTTTAGTGATGTCCCATAGCTCAACTCCGTAAGTCCAAATAAGTCTTATTATAGTCTTGTATATGAGTCTTATGTAATTAGTTGGAAGTTTAGAGCGTTTGTCTAGTAAGTGCTGAAGTAATCGGAAACGTCGAGCGGTTTCTTGTCGTTTCAGTCTGGTATGAAAAAAAAATCTTAAATATGCAATTTGACTTTCGTATGACTTTTCATTTTTGAGCTACACTGCTAATTCAATTGGAATCATGGGATCTCAAAGCGTCAATTTCAATGTCCATTAAAAACTGAGATTCGAAAATTTTCACAATTGAAATATTCTTCTAAACTATATACTTATTTCATATGTAGGTAATTGAAAATAAAATTCGCTAACAAATTATGTATTTAAATTTAATTTAAGAAAACAAGATTACTTTCTGGTCTCCCTAATACACTGTATTTACGCATTTTCATATCATTTATTCACTTTTATTTGTTAAAATAAGAAATATCGTTTATGAGCCATCCATAGAGGTAACAAAAATAACAAGGCTAATTGCCATTGTGCTATTATTGCTATTGCTATGTGAAACTATTATTCACTACTCCACTACATTTCTTGGTACTTGTACTCTGATATCGACGTTGATCATTAATATAGGATTTATCGATGAAGTATCGACTCGGATAATGAAATGAAATATCGATTCTAAGGCGTATATATTGACTGCCATCGTCGCTCGTGTCAGTTCGAACCAACATGCTTCTCCACTATTGTGTCTTCATTTTTATCCTTGTAAGTATAACCAAGCATGAATACACATACAAATACATGAATGAATATATATATATATATATATATATATATATATAAACACATGTTAACAGGGTCCCGCTCACTACCCGATTCACAAATCTTTCGAACTAAAGCCCCCACCAAAATCGAAAAATGTATTCATTGAGCAATCAGAGCTGAATATTTAATTATTTTCATTGTTTAATTATTTAGATTAGATCAATCATTGTAAAAAAATCTGGTGCGGTGCGCGCATCACACAACTTTCACTTACCACTCTCTTGGCAGAATAAGGTTTTTGCAGACAAAAACGAAGTGAAAGTAAAAATTATGGACGCTATATTTATTTATATTTCATCATGGGTATTTTTATTTGTATAAGTACTCTTATATATACAAATTTTAATATTTATATCGCTGTAATGTATACAGTTAACTATTAAATAATACCAAAAATAGCATTTATGAAAACCACATATGTATATTTATATAATATTGTTGGAGTCCTTATTATATTAAGCTCATGTTACGCATGGATGAGCTTAATATAATACTAATCTTTCGGGCGAGCTCGTATTCCTTTGGTTCCTCAAATACAACTATTTCCGTTAAAATATCTTATTTCTCATTTATGTAATTATCAAATCCTTTCATATTTCATATTTAACTATTTATTAGAGATTAATGTGAAAAATAGTCAATCCTTTCAAATAAAAAAAATTAAAGGTACTTTAGGGGAAGCTAATATTGAAAATTAGCCATTTAAGCCCTGTTAGAAAACATCGTTTTTTTTTTTTTTATTTCTTAATGACATTTACAACTGTATTACATAAATACATCAAGTAAATTTGGACATAATAAATATAATGACATGAATACACTTGCTGAGTAACTACCCAATGGTAGCACTCTAAGAAAACATCAATCTGAATAAAAACTACATTTTATTTAAAACTGCTTAATTTTACACTGATATGATGAATTTAATCAAAATCGTTAGAACATTAATCAGAATAAAAACTACATTTTATTTAAAACTGCTTAATTTTACACTGATATGATGAATTTAATCAAAATCGTTAGAACATTAATCAGAATAAAAACTACATTTTATTTAAAACTGCTTATGTTTACACTGATATGATGAATTTAATCAAAATCGTTAAAGCCGTTTTCGAGAAAACCGTAAAAATGTGATAAGTCCATTATATAAAGTGCCACTTTCAATAAGCCGATTTTGACGAAAAAGTTGCTGTAACATCTAAAACCTTTTCTGTTGCGTATAAAAACTTTTCTTGTTGCATATAAAAACCTTAAATATGCAATTTCATTTTCGTATGACTTTTCGTTTTTGAACTAGACTGTTAACACACACAAACACACACAGACCATTTTGCGGGACTCAGTTATTTGGACTCAGAGAACCTCAAAACGTGTATTTCCATTGAAATTTTCGGAATATTTATTTCCGTTGAAAACCCAGATTCGAAAAATTTTCACCACCGGAATACGTTCCTTTACTATATATTTCAAATATAGGTAAGTGAAAGTAGTAAGGACCAAAGAGAAAAGAAAAAAAATCCATTTTTTAAATTTTTTTTAGGATGTTCTTCACGCCGAGTTCCCAATCCTAATATTGACGTACAAAAAAAAAAAACCCTGCTAATTGCTTCAATTATTTTTACGAAAACGTAAATATTAGGATTGGAAACATTTAGTTGGTCCTTTATAAATACGGATCAATATCTATAACAGAGATCAATATCTTTTCACAGTTCTATATTACAACACTGCAATCACCTGCCCTGGAATAAACTTATTCACTCTCTGAATAGATATAACTTTTCCAAATAGAAATATCACTAAAATAAAACTATTTAAAAATGTTGAAATCAATCATGATGGAGTCAGTCATTATGTCAGCTGAAAGGCTCAGAGACTGAAGTAGTCAAGTTTATAAAAGCAGATGGAATAATTAGATGTCTAATCAAAGTAGAGCGGTAAGTGAAAGTTGTGTGTTGAGCGCACCAGATTTTTAAACAATGTCATTTTCTTGATTACGTGGATTTTAAATTCTTTCTTTCAAACTAATTTACATATAGTTTGTAAATTGCCTTGCTTTCTATAATAGATATGTTTTTTTTTTTAAATTATTCGTTTTCCAAGATATATTATACGTATAACTTCTGAATGTTATTTCTGAATAATCATTTTCGAACTAAATAAACTTTTTCTCCAACTGGTAAAAAAAATCGATTTTTTAAACAGAAATTAAGGCAAAATAGTTACTAATACTTGACAATTATAGTTACTATATGTTAATAATTGGTATAACCAATATTTTTTTGCATTTAACTCCTCTAATTTTTTATTCGGTCTTAGTTAGGTTTCTCCTATCTAAAAGATTACAGTAATATTCTAATAAGTAACTGCAAGACTGTTGCGAGAGTCTTGCGCAAGACCAAGACCGAGTTTGCAAGACCAAGACTCGTCTCGGTCTAGCATTTGGGCAACACTATTTTCAACTATCAAATTCTTTCAAAACTTATATTTAGCATTTTTTCGTAACTCTTAATAATGAGATATAGTTAATTATTTTATATAAACCAAATTAAAGGTACTTTAGTGGAAGACATGCAGAACATGTAAGCATTTAAGCCCTGTAAAGTGACATCAATGGGTATAACACCTCAATGGTATTAAATACCACTTAATAATACACTGATATACCTAGTTTGATAAAAATGTTTAGAGCAATTTTCGAGAAAATCGTAAAAATGTATTACATCGATTATGTGATGTGCCAATTCCGGTTAATCGATTTTAGCAAAAACATTGCTGTAACCTCTTAGTCATACAACTTAAATATGCAATTTCGCTTTTCGTTTTTGAGCTTGACTGCTAACATACTCACAGACACCCTGACCTTTTTGCGGGACTTGGTTATTTGGACTCAAAACGTTTATTTCCATTTTGATTCCGTCCATATATATTACCTAAATAGGTAAGTGAAAATAAAAATTAATAAAAATCGATTTAGATTTGGAAAAAAGAAGACTCTATTTATTTATTTATGGAGAACCAATTCTATAAAAATCGCAAGCTTCTTTTTGATTATTTGTGTAATTCATACTATATCTTATAGTCTAATATAATTTTAGGGTTATAATCTTGATTATACATCTTCCTAGATAAATTATATACATAAATCTCAAATAAATTTCTTATATTTTCAAATGTTTTCAGACGAAACTTGGTTGTTTCGGAGCACAATGGCAGATTCTGGAAGATTTCAAACAAAATGTAAGGAAATACTTCAGAACAGGACAGGATGTGAACAAAGTAATTGACGACTTCATCGCCAAGAAGAAGTACGAGTCCTTGGACTTCCTCTACAACATCGAGCACACGCCGTACCTCGAGCGAAGTGAGCTGCGGCCATTTTGTACCCAGGTCCACCTCCACCTCGAAGGTCTTCTGTATTCCTTCAAATCTGATGTGGTGAAACTTGAGACTCCACTGCTCAACATCAGGGTCGAAATAGAGGACAGGCTGTCCGATATCATCGCCTCGACGGACGTTTACCAGAAGTTGGCAGATAACAAACATCAACAATGTCGGCCAGGGAACTACGTCTGCGAGGAACAGATCATCCACTGGCTGAAGGAGAAGGTGGAGAAGATTCAGTGCAGGGTCGTCGCCAACTGCTGGCAGCTGGAGAGGAACCACTCTATTGCTAGGAGGTCCGTCTCCGATTGTGAAGAATTCCAATGCAAAAATGGCGAATGCATACCATTTGATGACGTATGCAATGGTGAAAAAAACTGCACAGACGGTAGCGACGAAACCCCAGAGTGTTCAAGGTACTGCTTCAACGGCTTCCATTGCCGGGACCTCCGCTGCATCAACAAGACGCAGATTTGCGACGGTACTTCAGACTGCGGCGATGGTTCTGACGAAGAGTCTTGCAAAACGGCGGAAGTAGTATACAGCGCTGACAACTGCAGCCTCGAGACCGGGAACTTCCTGTGCGGCAACAAGCGCTGCGTGCCGTTGAAGGAGGTCTGCGACAAGGAGGACGACTGCGGCGACTACTCGGACGAGAGCCGGCTGTGCGAGATGAAGCGGCGGTGCGCGGGGGGCTGCACGGCGAGCGGGGGGGTGTGCCTGGTCGGTCCCAAGGGACCGCTCTGCCTCAGCCAGTGCCCGGAGGGGACCGAGGACGACTTCGGGACCTGTCGGCCGGGACCGCAGCGGTCCCTCGACAGCCTCGACGGCCTCTTCGAGCGGGTCCCGTACCTCTTCGAGCGCTACGTCGGCGCCCTGGCGCTCCTCAAGAAGCAGCTCATCTCCGATCTGGAGAAGGCCTTCCTCTCCTGCCAGGCGTCTCTCACCGAAGTCAGGTCGTTCAGGGATATCAGGCATCCTAGATATATTTCACAGGTCTCTCATTGAGGTGAGGTCACTCAGAGATTTAATATATCAGAGAAAATAATATCTATATCTATTGTATTGAAATAAAGTATTATGTATTTCGTTGATTGTTCAGAACGCCTATTTTTATTTAATAAAAACATTTCCCTGAAAGGTATTTATTTAATTTTAGGATACAACTTTAGGCATACCTTTAGCAGATATATAGATAGATAGATAGATAGATAGATAGATAGATAGATAGATAGATAGATAGATAGAAAAATAAACTTTATTATGGGCAAGGTTCCTAAGAGTAACAGGAAAGAGAAATACTTTATTTAAAGCAGTACTGCCCTACCTTATAGAGTTGCTCGATACAAACCATAATCATCAATCTTCTTTTTTTTGGACATAGCACTTAATTATACTTAATCATATGTTTGTATGTATACAAATTCTTTTTAATTTTTTTCAATTTCAATTCAAGTTTCATTAAAAAAAACTGGTGTGTCCACTCCCACGACTTCCCTACCTATTTTAGAAAAGCTTTTATATCTTCACATAATGAAATGAAAAATTATTTTATTCTAGGACTGCAGTCCCCTTAGAATAATAGTGAAGTTCAAAAAATGTGTTCATTAGTCTGAAATTTAGTTATCATACAAATATATACAAAAAATACTAAAGGAATTGTAAATATATATACATATATATATATATACATATATGTATATAAAGATATTAAGGAAAATACAAATGTATAAAAAAATACAAAGGAAAATATAAATATCTACATATGTCTATTAAGAAACCAAAAAAAAAAATCTGGTGCGCGCAACACACAACTTTCACTTACACCTCTACCTTGAAGTCAGGTCGTTCAGAGATTTCAGGCACTCTAGATATATTTCCCAGGTCTCTCATTGAGACGAGGTCACTCAGATATCTTAGGCACCTTAGTTTAATTAAAAAAATAATATCTATATCTAAGCTATTGTATTGAAATAAAGTGTTATGTATTTCGTTGATCGTTCAGAACACCTACTTCTATTTAATAAAAACATTTCCCTAAAAATAGTTACAAGTATTCATTTAATTTTAGGATATAAAACAATGATGATATAGCTTTAATAGATAGATAGATAGATAGATAGATAGAAAAATACATAGATAGATAGATAGAAAAATAAACGTTATTATGGGAAAAGGTTCCAAAGAATAACAACAAAAAATCTGGTGTGTATAATCCCACGGCTTTCCTACCTATTTCAGAAAAGTTATTATATCCTTTCTGATATAAAATGGTTACAGGTATTTATTTAAATTTAGGATAGAAACTAATGATGATATAGCTTTAACAGATGGATAGATAGATAGATAGATAGAAAAATAAACGTTATTATGGAAAAAGGTTCCAAAGAGTAACAAAAAAAATCTGGTGTGTATACTCCCACGGCTTTCCTACCTATTTCAAAAAGTTTTTATATCTTTACATAATGAAATGAAATGAAGTGAAAAATAATTCTATTCTGGGAGTGAAGTCTACTTAGAATAATAGTAGAGTTAAAAAAAATATTTACATTAGTCTGGCATTTAGATATCTAGAACATTTAGATTAGATATTTAGATATAAATATATATAAAAAAACGCTGCAAATTATTTCACAATGGTTTATTATTTCCAAACAATTATATATCTAAAGTAACATTACCTTCCCGAGTTACAAAGAAAAATAAATAAAAGGTGGTTCCAATTATTGGACTAAACTATTTTTTTTTTATCATTAGTAATATGCTAAAAAAAATAGCATTACTTCAGTAACACATTGAAAATTTAAAAAACCAAACAAAGGATATCACATTTGGAGTAGAACATATAAAAAAAAAAAGGAGAACATACTATGCTCCTCAATGTCCGATTTTAAGGAATTTTTTGGAAATTCCGTAAACTTTTAAAAAACCATATACAATATCAACAAAAAAGTGTATTTTTTTAAGTTATTCGGAATTTAATTTTACCATCCCTCGTAACTTTTTGTCCAGCTTCTTTTCGTTGAAGTATGTTATATAGATAAATTTAAAGGGCGTCAAGAAAATGACTTTAGCGAAGTTTCTTTGAAATCGGTACATTCGTTTAGGAGCTACAGTCTATTGCAACGAAGGTTTTGAAAGTAAAAGGCGGATAGTAATGTCGATGAAGGAGGATCATCCTCGGGTGGCCTCTGATTTTATATCCAAATTTGAGGCGGACGGCGGACGGACAAAAATTTTTATATTCGTTTTTCGGATTCTACGCATCCTTAAACGTGAAACCTCAAATTTTGAGAGGGGGTTAAGTTTTTGAATTTTTCGGTCGATCACAAGGGTTGTTTATTGAAAATAATAAACCAATAAACGTTATTATGGGACAAGGTTCCAAAGAGTAACAAAAAAAAACTTTCCTACCTAGTTCAGAAAAGTTTTTATATCTTTACGTAATGAAATGAAATGAAGTGAAAAATAATTTTATTCTAGGACTGAAGTCTCCTTAGAATAATAGTAGAGTTAAAAAAATATGTACATTAGTCTGGCATTTAGATATCTAGATCATTTAGATATAAATATGTACATAAAAAATACCAAAGAAATTGTATATATATATATATATATATATATATATATATATATATATATATATTTACGATGAGTTATAGTGGCTCTTCCCTTCTTTCCTCAGACAATATTTCCTTGGATCTTTCCTATTCCAAACGTTCAAAACCCGACACCCTTCCTATATTTACAGTCTCCTACAGTTCAAACCCGTGATCCACTCCCAGAAAACAAGAACCCGTGTTTCCGACCTTTATATCCCTTCCCATAGAACTAAGACGTTTGAATATTTATTGCCAGATCCACTGCCTTCTGGAATTCCTTGCCATCTGATATCCGCCATGCCTCTTCCTTGTCCTCATTTAAATATCATCTTTACCAATTCCTTCTCACATCCCAAAATGACGTTATGCAATGAAATAAATATTGCGAAACAGATTTTTGACTAAGGTGAATGGTTGTTAAAATTGATTGAGTTTTTAATTTTAAAAATCAGCCCATGCTTATATTATTTTGTTTGTTTATTTCATTTAAATAATGTTAGTTTTTTCCAAAATGGTATTATTTTTACTTGTTTTAATATACTTTTACTGAAGATACTGTGTATATTCTTTAATATTGAATAATGTAAATTTTGGCCAGATGTAGTTTTTATTTTTTTGTTCATAACTGTTGTTCATAAGGGACCTCGTCCCAGAATAAAGTTTATTTTCCATCTATCTATATAGATAGATGGAATATATATATATATATATATATATATATATATATATATATATATATATATATATATATAGAATAGAATAGAATAGAATAGAATTGAATTTATTTGTTAAAAATTATTTTACAATCTTGTACAAATCATACATATATGAATAACTTTATTTCACCTACATGAATCTAGTTTATCATAACAGTACATCGACTTATTATAAAAACAATAACTAAACAATAATATTTCATTACATTCCAATTAATTTCTATATAATTATCAATAAAACCAAAAAAAAAAAAGAAACGAACAATTAATTGAACTGACCAACAATTATCTTTAGTCATAGCACTTGGTTGGTGTGTGGAACATCAGAGCTTAAGGAATCCAGTGAATTGCACGCTGGCATTATGAACCAGTAAATTTTATTAAGTTTCTCTATGTTATCGATTCCAAGTATGTCTTGTATCTTGTTTACATCACTTGGCGCAGAGAGAAATGCTCGTAAATGTTTGTTTCTGTCGTCTGTTAGCTTTTCACAGTACAGAAGGATATGGAACAGGCTGTTAGAAATGAATTTGTTACAGAAAGTGCCGGTTTCCTGGGCTTTGAAGTAGAAACTTTTGTTTTTCGTATAGAGCTTAATTAATTCGGGATTTGAAACCCTTAACTGACTTATTGATCTTAGAGTATAGTATAGTTTATTCGTTGAAAACTCAGATTCGAAAATTTTCACGATCACAATAGCACATTTCTTTATTATAAATTAAAAAATAAATAAATAAACGCCGACCCTGACAGAATCAGATTCTATTAGATAAGATAACAACAATCCAGGTTCACTCGACGGACAGGGAAGAAGTGCCCCCTGATTGGCGGTCCTGGAAGCTCTTCATCCTCGACAATAGCAGCTCCTTCTTGGCCCTGAGGGCCGCCATCCTCGCCTCCTGGACCTGCTCCTCCAGCTCGGCCTCTTCGTGCAGCAGCCGCAACCTCTCCCTCAGGACCGTGTTGCTCCAGGGCAGGGGGAGGTCTGTCAGGGTCAGGTTCGACCGGCCCCTCGTCATCCGCGGCGTCTCCTGGGTAACAATGTGACCGTCAGTGGCTGTTCTAGTGCGCGCATCACATAGTTTTCACTTACCATCCTACTTATAGTAGAAAATTTTGTAGACATTTTATAGTCTTAAGTATATATTAAGCCTATATTATTAAGCCTATTTTTAAACACTTATATTAAGTGTAATATTCAAAATAAAGCCTTGATCATGGGATTTTCTAAACAATAAAAAACATAAAATGTACCAATAAAAAATGCCTTCAAGAAAAAAGAAAGTATAGATCAGTCAAGAAAAAAAGTGTAGTTGAAGGGTAGATGCTGTATATTTAAAACTGATTGTAAGTTTGTTAATAATTGCCCGATTTTATTTTGTTTTGTGGCTAATTTAGTATACTACCTAATAAATTATCAAATTAAGAATAGTAATTCGTGGTTTAGTAAAACAACAACATGAAAAATTGTTATAACAAAATTTTGAAAAAAAGGGTTCTTTAAAATTCTTAGTATAAATTTTTATATAAATTATAAATTTTATTGAATAAGGATTAAATATTGAAGAAAATTTTGTATGAGTTAAATAATCATGCTGCATCATGGTACTGAATAGTCCGTGGTACAGAGCCCTTTTTATCAAATTATTAACATTCGGCTGAAATTTCGTAAATAGTTTCATCACATCGTAACCAACAACTATTTTATTTACGAAAATTCTTGAAATTGGGACGTTTTCAATCTATAAGGGGAAAACTTTGTCTATTTAATTAGGTACTAAAACCCGTTTTTCTAAAATAGGTATTTCTATTTGCGTTTTACTTTGATCGTAAGATAATTTGATCCAAAAAAGAGTATCCTACAAAAATATTGGGCCGTTTGTCCTATATAACCTTGTTATTTTGAAAATTTGGGAGTATAGGTCACGTCAAACGGCTCAATATTTTTGAAGGCCACCTTTTTTCTCGAATTTGTGATCAAATTATCTTACGATCCCTGAGTATTTATGAGTTTTTATTACATAAATAATTAGAGAAAGTATACTCCCCTCCATATTGAGAACGCCACAATTCCAAGATTTTCCGTAAATAAAGTATTTGTAAGTTACGATGATATTTTATAGTCCGTGGTACAGACCGGTTTTTTATCAAATTATTAACATCCGACTGAAACTTCGTAAATAGCTTCGTCTCATCGTAACCTACAGATATTTTACTAACGAAAATTCTTGGTATTGAGGCGTTTTTAATCTGGAGATCAGCAAATTTCGTCTATTTAATTAGGTACTAAAAACCCGTAAATACCTATTTGCTTTCTACTTTGATCGTAAGATAATTTGATCATAAAATCGAGAAAAAGAGTATCCTACAAAAATATTGGGCCGTTTATCCTATATAACCTCGTTATTTTGAAAATTTGGGGGTTTAGGTCACGTCAAACAGCTCACAAATTTTTGAAGGCCACCTTTTTTCTCGATTTTGTGATCAAATTATCTTACGATCCAAGAAGAAAGCAAATGAGTATTTACGAGTTTTTAGTACATAATTAATTAGAGAAAGTACACTCCCCTCCAAATTGAAAACGTCCCAATTCCAAGAGTTTCCGTAAATAAAATAGTTGCAGGTTGCGATGATATTTAATAGTCCGTGGTACAGACTGGTTTTTTATCAAATTATTAACATCTGACTGAAACTTCGTAAATAGATTCCTCTCATCGTAACCTACAAATATTTTATATACGAAAATTCTTGGAATTGGGGCGTTTTCAATCTGGAGGTCGGCAAATTTCGTCTAATTAATTAGGTACTAAAAACTCGTGAATACTCACTTTCTTTCCACTTTAGTTGTTGGCCTTCAAAAATATTGAGCCTTTGGCGTGACCTAAACCCACAATATTTCAGAAATGGTGAAAAAATGACGTAATGTCAATTTTATTGAATTATTTCCGCTCACTTCTCTTATATATGCGCAAACGTGTTTTCCTTAATACCTTCAGCAAATATGCAATCTACTTATGGGAATCTTTTTCATATTTTAGTATTAGCTGATGAACAAAACAACCATTTTATGTTGAGGGATTACTGAATTTTCGAAACATTTTATTCTTAGGCGAAAAATTTTAGAACTTGTAATATAGCTATTTTTAGCCAATTCAAACGGTGAGGAAGCTATACTGACATGGTAGACGTTTTTTATTAACTGAAAAATTTCGTGATTCTAACTGAGTTAATGTTTGCGGGAAATTTGACAAATGTGATGTTATGAATGTCAGTAAAACAAAAAATTAAATATTTACACACACACTCATATATTTATATTTATAAATCATTTGATATAACACAAAATGTGCACTTTAAGCCAAAAACGTGCAATATAAAATTTAAATATGTTATTCTACAGATCCTGAAACGGATAGATATTCGGGTCCAGGGTTTTTACACTCAAGAGTATAAAATGTACCATAACATGGAAATCCGGTCTCTAGTAATTATGACCACTATATTGTATTATAACTACATGCGAACTGATATGTATATATTTTTTTTGATGTTATTCTAAGGGGACTTTAGTCCCAGAATAAAATTATATTTCATTCATTCATTCATTTTTCTCATTCATTAATTCATCATTTCATTCATTAATTCACCAATTCATTCATTCTTTCATTCCATTCCATTTCATATATCGTACTCACAAAGTGTAGCAGATCCAGATTGGAAGTGGTCCTCTGCTCCGGAAATAGGAGTGCCGTGTTAGTGGACACGTCAGCGGTCACCGGCAACTCAGTCTGCACTGTTATATCTAGGCATATTATCACATTATATATATATATATATATATATATATATATATATATATATCTTTGAAATATAGGTACTATTCTATAAGTGTTACTCCAATTTAAAGGGGACCCTACACGATAATTCATGAATGAACGTCAGAAGAAGTTCCAAGATTGCCCGCTATCGCTTTGATCATGAAGACCCTTACACGTTCAATCATTACTGATCATTACTTATCGTTGCTGACCGATTTAGCGCAGTTGTAAACAAAGAAACAGCATAGATATGTTTATTTGGACATTGTCATTTATAATATTGGGTCTAAACGGAGATATAATAATTACTTCCTAGTGCCTGAAAATCGTTTAGACCAAAGTTAGTCCAAAATATAAGTCAACTACATACAAAAATCTATGAAAAGTATTGCGAAAATAATCAATTTGTTAAGAAAAATGGAAAAATTAATGGCAAATAAACACAACAGTTAAAGATTTTTTTTCTATAAGTAAATTGTGAAGTTTCCACTTTTTTTTCTCTCCAATTTATTGCATACTTGACTATTTAAAGAAAAAATAGTTGAAAATGGTTAATAATAATATAGACTAGGGATATAAACAACTATTTACTTTTATGAAATTATTTACTTAATAACGAGACCTAGGTAAACTAACCTATCTAGTAGTTAGGTTAGTCTCATAGAAAATGGTTTTGACAAAAGTCAGTAAAATATAAGTCTACTACTTACAAGAATTAAGGAAAGGTATTGCGAAAATAATAAATTTGTTGAGGAAAATGGGAAAAGAACTGATAAATATACACAACGTTAAAGTTTTTTTTTTTCCTTTCCAGTAAATTGTGAAGTTTCCTCATTTTTTTTAAAATTTGTTGCCCACTTGACTATTTAAAAGAAATATTTGAAGAAGGTTTAAAATTATAAACAAGGGATATGAAAAATTATTTAACTATTTACATATAATGAAAATCATAAATTTATAATGGTAGTGAGGCCTAGGTAACCTAAGCTATCCAGCAGTATGGTTAGCCCCCCCACTACTTTTACCTCAGCCCCCCTCCACTTCTCGTGAATGAACCTTTGATTTCCGGATGTTCGGAAATCCGCAGCGCACCACCATCAGTACTTCATTCACTACCTTACACAACAATTCGGAACGTCATTAGTGCAATTCCGATTGACCGTGTAGGGTCCCCTTAATAGGTTGGCTCAAGATCTCACGTCTACATTTCTCAATCAACATTCATACTCTCTCCTTGTGCCGTGGGAGCTTTAATCTCTGGCATTAATCCTCCTTCCTCCCTTCTGGGCCGGGAATGAGTGAGTGGCTTTTTATGCCACTTATAGCATAAAAAGCGAGAAAGGAGAGAACAAAAAAAAGTTGACAAATCACCAACAAGACCAGCAAACCTGTATTGCGCATGCGAAAACAGTCCAGGACTGCTTGTTGATAAAGACCTATTATCATCACTAGGTCTTCAACTCAATCATCAAAGTGTAAACGCATCTATCGAACTGCCAAAATATATTTACATTTTCATACATAATCATTATTTATAATTGTTGTTTCAAAAGGCAATGATGTTAGAAAATAATATAGATCTTGAGTGGAACCAATCAAAATATCAGAAACATCTTTTAAAATAAATGATAATAAATGGTTATCTTGGAACAATATCTTAGTAATGGACTAACCTTTCATGGTTGTCGTTGACATTTTCAGATACGCTCATAAACTTAACGTCTTCCATATGACTAATAGAATTTAATTTTTTTTTTTCAAATATTATTTATAGGTTAAGTATTGCAATTATGGTTTTAAAATATATTAATCCGTGGTACAGGCCCCTATTTATTAAATTATTAACATTCGCCTGAAATTTCGTAACTATCTTCATCTAATCTTAACCTACAAATATTTTATTTAGGAACATTATTGGAATTGAGATATTTTCAATCTGGAGATCGTCAAACTTTGTTTATTTAATTAGGTACTAAAAACTCGTAAATACACATTTGCTTTCCACTTGAATCGTAAGATAATTTGACCATAAACTCGAGAAAAACGGTAGCCTTAAAAAATGTTGAGACATTTGGTGTTACCTACACCCCCAAAATGTCAAAATAACCAGGTATTATAGCCCTTATATATAATATTGAGATATATAATATTCTGTCTCGTGGACAATAAAGAGTTTATTTAATTAGGTATTACAAACTCGTATGTATCCATTTTCTTTCTTTTTCGGTCGTAAGATAATTTTATCACAAAATCGAGAAAAAAAAATTGGCCTTGAAAAATATTGGTCCCTTTGGCATAAAATACCTCGTTATTTTGACATTTTGAGGGTGTAGATAACACCAAATGTCTCAATATTTTTGTAGTCAACCTTTTTCTCTCGATTTTGTGATCAAGTTATCTTACGACCGAAAAAGAAAGAAAATAGATATATACGAAATTTTAATGCCTAATTAAATAAACTCTTTATTGTTCTTGAGACAGAATATTATATATCTCAATAAATAATTTTTTTTAAAATAAAAAATTAAATAAACAAAGTTTCATCTTCAGATTGAAAACGCCCCGATTCCAAGAGTTTTCGTAAATAAAATATTTGTATATTACGATGAGAAGAAGCTATTTAACAAGTCTTTCAGTGGTTAAATTCAACAATCTTGTTAATATGATATCTACATCTCGCCAGTTAAATGAAATGATATGCAATATTACAGGAGGCAGTAATAGACGTGTTTTAAAGGCGCGATTACTTCAACACGAGCGTGTAAATGGGGTATTTGTTTTGGTTCGCTGACGTTCACGCAGACCCGATTTACGGTCGTATTTTTTGACACAAATCTAAGAAAGATGCGGAAAACTCCATTTAAGTGCTAGTTGCTTGATAAATTAATATATTTCGTATTTCTGAACTGTTTTTATTTAATGAAATTTACCACTGTATACAAATGCAACCAGTAAATATGTACACATCCGTACATATATTATTACAGAAAGGCTCGAAATCGGTTTTGTACCAAATATAAGCTCCTGTCATGCTCAAATACCATGAATGGGGTACCGTTGGATTCAGAATTTTACGGGGGGTTAGCGAATCGTATTCTCCGCTTTTGTTTTTCTTTCTAAAATAAATAAATTCGATACAAACATTTTGCTGGGCTTCGATACTGGAACGGTGGTAGGTCTGTAGATCGATACGGGACAAATTGGATCTTAAAGATTTTGATGCGTACAGCAAGACCCGGAGGCTTCCTTCTCCTTCAGGCTGGTAAAATAGTTCAATCACCCAGAAAATTTAGGCAAACAAGTTATGAAAGAAAATAAACTTTATTTGCGAATAACTGAAAAATTACACACTTTTCCCTTGGTTATGCCCATAATTATATAAAAGATTACTAAATTCCCTACAAAAGGAAAAAAAAATCACCGCAATCGGACAATTTTTAGCAAAGATACAGCTTACTGAAATATGTATACATGTTGGTTCCAAACAAAAATGAAGATTTAAATTAATTTTTGTTTGCTTTGTGGATTATATTTATCGTTAAAGTAACATTTGATGTCTTAATCTTTTGATAAGTTGCATTTCCTTATTTTCTCATTAATTTGGCATTTGATAACAATATGCTGTGCGAATTTTTTAAGCGGGGCTGCTAGTTAGAAATAATGACATGAGCAGGCTTGAAGAGATACTACCCATTGGTAGCACCTAAAAAAAAAAACCTGTACCACTACAACCCATGAAGGGTCTGGGGTTCAGTACTATTTAGGAAAATCACAGTTTCTAGGCCAACGGCTGTACAAGGAGGTGATTTGACCGAGATCACGCTCAACCACCAGGTTTTCCTCCTTAATTAATTATCTAATTAAGGGTACCCACTTTATAGAGGCTGGGTGTGCCCCAGGAGGGTCTCCCGACCCAGGTCACCCCATGACCAATGGAACAGATAAATAAATTTTCTGGCATGAGCCGGGTTTCGAACCTGGGACTTTTGCATTGGAAGCTCAGTGCCTTATCACTGAGCTACCCCACTCCTCCTGTGGTAGCACTCTCTATTTAATTCTAGGTAAGAAGACCACGATGCCATCTTCTTTTCAAACGCCTATTGGGATTATCAGGAATCGAGGAAGTAGCAAGGCTGGAAACAAGTGGACTCGGATGGGACTGGAGTTTATCATGAAAGGATAAATTCCACCTCTGTTCAGGCAGAGGTGCTCAAAAGGACGTTTTATGGCCTAAGTAGCGCTATCAAAATTTTTGAAGGGCCCACATTTTGACGAGTTTTGGAATTTTTAAGGGGTGAACATTTCAACGGGTTATGAATTTTTGAAATGAAAGGTTTCGTAATACGTGACAAGGATAAAACCTGGAGCAGACCGATGATCTACGAATTTTTTAATTCTACTTTCCTTTACTCTGTTTTTTTTAGAAAAGGTAAGCAATAAAATATGTTGGAAGAAGTTCTTGCCCCATCGACTTTAGGGGGGCACCTCTAGGCTTTGGCTAAGTAGTTTTTAAAAATATTTTTAATTTTTTTCTTTTTGAAATAAAATTATTTTGAACCTACATTTGCGGTCATAGAAATTGTATCACCCACCAAAAATTTTATTAAATTATATATTATTTAGCGGATGGTCCGGGGTGGCGGTCATAATAGACTAAAATAGTGGCAAAACCATTTATTTTTTTTAAGCCAACGTTTCGACCTGACTTTGCAGGTCTTCTTCAGGGCAAGAACGGACAAGATAGAAAAGGATATAGAAAATTGTGAATGTTACATAATATTTAGATAAAAATTATTGACAGTGTGAATAAACTTATGCAATATTATACAGTATGTACTTACTGTATAATATTGCTTAAGTTTATTTAAACGAACTCAGTATATTTTTGGTTATGGTACATCTAAATTTTAGTTGTTGGATTCTAATATTAAAACGCTGCAAATTATTTCACGATGAGTAGGATAGGGTTCCACCAATCAACTATAGTCAGGGTTTTGAAAAAAAAAAAAAAAGCGTCATGGAGTGAAAGAAAAATACTAGAAGGAGAAAATAACAAATGAACAGTTTGACCGCTTAATGGTCCGATTGTTTCTAGAATATCGTTTTAAAACTGGCAAAGAAGTATTCGAGTTTCGTAGATAGAAATATGGTAAATAAAATATAGATATTGAATACTTAATAGTTGACCGTTGTATTTTAGAGGAATGAGATAGTCCGGGGTGGCGGTCAGAAATAGACCAAAATACTGGAAAAACTATTTTATTTCAAGCCAACGTTTCGACATGACTTTGCAGGTCTTCTTCAGGGCTAGAACGGACAAGATGGAAAAGGATATAGAAAATTGTGGAAGTTACATAATATTTAGATAAAAATTATAGACAGTGTGAATTAGTATTGCCCAAATGCGAGACCGAGACGAGTCTTGCAAACTCAGTCTTGGTCTTGCGCCAGAGTTTCGCAACAGTCTTGTATTTACTTATTAGCTTATTACTACAGAGATATTACTGTAATTTTTTAGATAGGAGAAACCTAACTAAGCCTGAATGAAAAATTAGAGGAATTAAATGCAAAAAAATATTGGTGATACCAATTATTAACATATAGTAACTAAGATTGTCGAGTATTAGTAACTATCTTGTCTTAATTTTTATTTTAAAAAATCGATTTATTTTACCAGTCGTGGTCTTGGTCTTGCAACAGTTAGGCGGCCTTGGTCTTGCAAAGTGAAAGACCAAGACCGCTTTTGGGCAACACTAGTGTGAATAAACTTATGGAAATATTAAACAGTAAGTACATTCAGATATTAAGAAAATTAAACTATATAAACATAGTAAACTAAGTAACAAGGTCCTAAACTGAAGTAAATAAATGTTGACAATTGTTGTAGTACAATATATAATATAATATATGCAATTATGAATATACTTCTACAGATCTCAAGGAGAGATTGGAAGAAAAGGATAAATAATATAAATAATGGATGTAAAGGGGTGTGAATAAAGACAAAAAAATTCTATGTACGTTTTACTTCTTTCATTTTTGTTTTTATTCACATTATACTTCTATCTATAATTTTTTAAATATATTTAATTTGTATATGTATGTATTTATAATTTATTAGTTCATATATATCGTATTTTTGTATCTATGAATATCTTCAAATTTTAGATTCTGTAATATTCCAAGTTCTATTGTACTTTTACTACTTAACCCCTCACCACACTCCCCAACTAGGTTAGCAAATTTTCTCAAGGGTTCTATACCAGAATTCTCCAGTTATAACTACACAACTGTAAGTCTTTATTTTTATTTTTTTTTATATATTTTATTGTGTTTATTTATTTATTTTTTTCTTCACATCCCTTTACGTCCATTATTTCATATTATATATCCATTTCTTCCCATCTTTCCTTAAGATCTGTAGGATTATATTCATAATTGCGTATATTATATTATATATTATACTACAACAATTGTTACAATTTATTCACTTAAGTTTAGGACCAGTCGTAAACCAACGACTTCCTGTCCTACAGCTTCCTTTAACAATACTCCACTTATCCCTGTTGAGCAAATCCGATACCTAGGACTCCCTCCACCTGGACAAACGACTAGCTTGGAATCCTCATACCAGACTGAAACGACAGGAAACCGCTCGACGTTTCCGATTACTTCAGCAATTACTAGACAAACGCTCTAAACTTTCTATTAATTACAAAAGACTTATATACTTGACTATAGTAAGACCTATTTGGACTTACGGAGTTGAGCTATGGGGCTCCACTAAACCATCGAATTCCTCTCGTTTCCAATCCTTACAATCCAAAATCCTTTGTAAAATCCTCAATGCTCCTTACTTTGTTACAAATAAAACCATCCATAATGACCTTAATGTCTCTTATGTTTCAGATCTGGCCCAAACCAGATACCTATCCTTCCATAATAAACTTCAGAATCATTCTAACCTTCTCGTTTCTAACCTTTCTTCCTCTTCAATTCCTGATAACCCTCCGAGGCGTCTGAAAAGAAGATGGCCCCGTGATCTCCTAATGTAGTGATATCATTAGAGTGCTACCATTGGGTAGTTACTCAGCAAGTGTATTCATGTCATTATATCAATTATGTCCAAATTTACTTGATGTATTTATGACATACAGTTGTAAATGTCATAAAGAAATATAAAAAAAAGTTGTTACTTAGTTACACTGTTTATATAGTTTAATTTTCTTAATATCTGAATGTACTTACTGTTTAGTATTTCCATAAGTTTATTCACACTAGTGTTGCCCAAAAGCGGTCTTGGTCTTTCACTTTGCAAGACCAAGCCCGCCTAACTGCTGCAAGACCAAGACCAGGACTGGTAAAATAAATCAATTTTTTAAAATAAAAATTTAGACAAAATAGTTACTAATAGTCGACAATCTTAGTTACTATATGTTAATAATTGGTATAAACAATATACTTTTGCATTTAACTCCTCTAATTTTTCATTCAGGCTTAGTTAGGTTTCTCCTATCTAAAAAATTACAGTAATATCTCTGTAGTAATAAGCTAATAAGTAACTCCAAGACTGTTGTGCAAGACCAAGACTGAGTATACAAGACCAAGACTCGTCTCGGTCTCGCATTTGGACAATACTAATTAACACTGTCTATAATTTTTATCTAAATATTATGTAACTTCCACAATTTTCTATATCCTTTTCTATCTTGTCCGTTCTAGCCCTGAAGAAGACCTGCAAAGTCATGTCGAAACGTTGGCTTAAAATAAAATAGTTTTTCCAGTATTTCGGTCTATTTATGACCGCCACCCCGGACTATCTCATTCCTCTAAAATACAACGGTCAACTATTAAGTATTCAATATCTATATTTTATTTACCATATTGCTATCTGCAAAACCCGAATACTTCTTTACCAGTTTTGAAACGATATTCTAGAAACAATCGGACCATTAAGCGGTCAAACTGTTCATTTGTTATTTTCTCCTTCTAGTATTTTTCTTTCACTCCATGGCGCTTTTTTTTTTTTTCAAAACCCTGACAATCGTTGAATGGTGGAACCCTATCCTCGCCATCGTGAAATAATTTGCAGCGTTTTAATATTAGAATCCAACAACTAAAATTTAGATGTACCATAACCAAAAATATACTCAGTTTGTTTTATTCTTCATTCAATTGTTCTCATTCCTCTGTTTCCTTCAAAATGTTTTATTTTTAAAATTGTTTATTTGAAACGATCGAATCTTTAATTATTTAATTACTAAAATGAATAAATACTAATAAAAAGCGTCATGAAACTAAATACCTTCTTAAAATCATAATTAAATATGAACCTAAATACTATTTCTTATTGTTTTATTTGCAAACTTACGATTCATATCGTCGGTTTCATTCAAAAAGTCACTATATAAATTATTGAGGGTATTTCCAAGGAACATGTGACCATAATTCAAAGATCCATATCTCTGCAACAAATGGTACGATTTCAATAATCTATATTTGTTTTGTAGGAAATAACCTCATCTTTAAAAAACAATATATAATTAAGGTTAAAAAATGTATACTTTTTGAGTTATTCGCAAATAAAAGTGTGTATTCCTAAAGACTTTTTTCCATTCCTTTTTTTTGGAGAAGCATATCATATATATTTTTAAGGTTTCATAGGGAAGAAGACTTTAGGGGAAATTTTAATATAATCATTAAAACCATTTTAGTGCTATATTCTATAGAAAAGTGGGGTTTCCCGCCACCATTTTGAAATAAAATGACCCTTTGTAAAAGTAGGGTAGTATCAGTATTATAGTTGGGAAAAAAAAATCGTGAATAATTTATGATTTTTTAAACAAAGATATTGGCCTAGTTTAAACGCTCAAAAGCCCACTTTAAATGGTTTTAACAATGATAAATTCTATTTTCATTTGAAGTAAATTTTGTCTAGTTTACATTGACGCAATCGTAAATTAAATGATCCAAAATTTCATAATAATATTGTGAATGTGCATTCTAGAAACAGAAGGTCTTTCAAAAAATTGGCCCATTGCTTATATGAAATTTTTTGTAGGTGTTGAGATCTGCTATCAGTGCTATAAAAATTTCTCTCTAATTATGGGGCACGCTGTATATAAAAAAAAACGTTTGGGGTCAAGCCCCCCAAAAAATAAATTTTGGATCCATTATATACAGGGTGTTTCAGGGATAAGTGGCCAAACTGAAAATATGAAAACTAAATACCTCAAAACTTTCCTCTTAAGGTATGTCCGCAAACGCTTTGTTTAGGAGATATTTATACCTAAAGATTTTCGTTGTTATGAATTATTTACGTTATGTGAAATAAATAAAAATAATATATTTGTTCTAAATACTTTCTTAGTTAAATGTAAACATTAACGTTCATATTAAATGTCGCTGAAAGTGAAGTTATGTCCATAAACGCTTTGTTTAGGAGATGGATTAGATAGAATACTAATATGGCGTTTTATCCCTAACTGTATAAAACTATTGGCAACATAAGAATTAATACTATTTGAAATTAACATTGGGAACTCTCAATAACATTTATCAGTTTGTAAGAGGCTTTCGCAGAGTACTCATCAGTATATCTTCCATTTACACCAATAGTGCCGTTCTGCCACTGCAGCTGTTGAAGAAAGATGACATTTAATATTAATGTTAATGTTTACGTTTAAATAATAAAGTAATCAAAAGAAATAAATAAGTAGGTTTTATTTATTTCATATAACGTAAATAATTCATAACAACGAAAATCTTTAGGTGTGAATATCTCCTAAACAAAGCGTTTGCGGACATATCTTCACAGGAAATTTTTGTTTTTTGGGGTCCTTAGTTCATTTTTGGAGTTTAGCCACTTAAATCTGAAACACCCTTGTGTATACCTACATGAAAATATCTAAAAAAAAAAAATACAATTGAATATATAACGTATTTGTTTAGATTAAACACATAGGGGAGATGAGACAGTCATCATGACATTGGTACATTTCTAGATTTTTTTTCAGCTAAAAATGAATAATATAAAGTGAAAAATATCTTCGATTTCTTAGTCTGTGCAAGCTCTAATAACAACGTTTTTCACAGTCCGACTAATTTGTCGCTATAATGCGATAAGAATATCACGGGAAAATGTAGGGGTAATAGAATCATAAAATCCTAATATATGTTGATATATATTATTATCTTTGGCTATAAATGAAAATTTAAATAAAGGTAACATTTAGGTATCAATAAAATAGTTACGTAACTACCACTAGGCCACAGCCTAGCGAGCTAGACGACATTTCATAATCGATTTTAGTTTACACACTTTATTCATTCATGTACCTTATTTATTATAATATTTTTTTTTATTATTTAAATTTGCAACTGTATTAAATGATAAATACAACAAGTAAATATGAAACAAATAACATGACATATACTACATGAAAAGAAACTACCCATTAGTAGCACTTCAATTATATTTCTATATTAGAGGTCCCGAGGCCATCTTCTTTTTAGACGCCTCGGAGGGTTATAAGGAATAGAAGAGGAAGCAAGGTTGGAAACAAGAGGGTTCGAATGGTTCAGAAGTTTATTATGGAAGGACAGGTATCTGGATTGAGCTAAATCGGAAACATATGGTACATTAAGGTCGTTATGGATGATTGTATTTGTGGCAAAGTAAAGAGCATTGAGGATTTTACGAAGGATTTTGGATTGTAAGGATTGGATACGAGAGGAATTTGATGGTTTAGTAGAGCCCTAAAGCTCGATTCCATAAATCCAAATAGGTCTTATTATAGTCATATATGTGAGTCGTTTGCATTAGCGGATGAAGGATTTAATTTTTTTTTTTTTGGGGGGGGGAGCTTCAGCCCGAAAGCTTTTTTTTCATATATATATATATATATATATCCATAATTACAAAAAAAAAAAAGCAGAAAGATACTAACTACCTATATGAAATGGTGTTTAAGTGATTCTTGAAGTCCTATTAGAGAGAGAGAATCACTTTATTATCATAAAATAAAATAAAATGGTGCTGCCCAATTACATTGGGTTGCTAACAACACAGCATACTTATTAATCACTACAGACATTATTTAAAATTATTATACAATTATAGGATATTAGCTATTATAATTAAATTAGCTATAATACTTTAAGACATAACTTTTAAATATTTTTTAGCATATAACATGGTTACATTTTACCATTTTGGGGGGGGCTTCAGCCCGAAAGCCCCCCTCCCCGTAAATCCGCCTGTGGTCGTTTGTAATTAATTGAAAGTTTTGAGCGTTTGTCCAGTAAGTGTTGGAGTAAGCGGAAACGTCGAGTAGTTTCTTTTCTTTTCAGTCTTGTATGAGGATTCCAAGTGAGACGTTTGTCCAGCTGGAGTCCTAGGTATCGGATTTGTTCTACAGGGATACCTTCAATAATTGAAAAGACCTAGGCCTTATTATAGTAATATATATGAGTCTTTTGTAAATAGTTGGAAGTTTAAAGTGTTTGTCTAGTAAGTGCTGCAGTATTCGAAAACGTCGGTCGGTTTCTAGTCATTTCAGTCTGATATGGGGATTCCAAGTGAGTCGTTTGTCCAGGTGGAGTCCTAGGTATCGGATTTGTTCAACAGGGATAAGTGGGGTATTGTTAAAAGATACTGTAGAACAAGAGGTCGTAGATTAACAATGAAGGTAATTTGATGGGATCTTATTTTGATCCTCCAGTTTTGAAACCATATTTCAAGGCTTGTGATGTGTGATTGAAGAGATTGAGATGCAATAGATAGATCGCTATTAACTGATAGGGTACACGTGTCATCGGCATAGGTGGTGATGGCAGTGTTGCAATATTTATTATTTATTTTCATTTTTTTTTACCTCGAATTATTGGAGGGAGGGGGAGTGAAACAATATTCTCGCCCCTCAACATTTTTATTTGAGGGACTATCTCCCCTCTCCCCCCCCCACTTAACACTTCCAGAAGTCTGCGCCTTCGATTTATCGTTAATTCTTCTTCGAGCTGCCATATCTTGGCTAGCTATATCCTAAACGCCGAATCTCCGCATTTTAATATTAAATATTTCAAATATCAAAAAAACCATATCATCTGTTTAAGCCAATGATCGTCAAAGTGTGTAACCAAGGTGACAGCGTTGCTAGTCGATAGTGAACTTGTCATCGCTATGGACGACCCAGGTGAATTTCCGCTTATGATATTTACTTAGTTAATAATAAATTATAATATAAACAAGAATTGATTATTTAAATTAAATTTAGGATAAATTAATGTAGAATAGATAAACAAAGATAATAAATATTTTATTTATACTGTATACATTCTGTATACTTCATGCATATATAACATAAAGTTATCACTAATTTTTTAACGAATCATGACGAAATATTCAAACCTGAGCCCACCTTACACGATAAATATTATTGAAGCAATATTACTGAACGTAGTAATATATGAGCCTTTCAGTTGACAGAATGAATAACTTCTACATTTTTACTTTCCTATCTATACTAGGTAAGGAAAGTATTGCGATGGGGTCGAATTTCCGATAAGAGGTTTTCAACGGATCTATACGTTTCAGAGCCCCCTGAGTCCGAAAAAAACATTTTTAGCCATTGGTCTGTCTGTCTGTTTGTGCCTAGATTTTCTCGGAAACTACTGAACCGATTTTGTTGCTTCTTTTATTATTTTGTAGAGTTTTGACTAATGATGCCTGTGGCCGAAATTCGGTGCTCCATGCGCAATAGCTTGCACGCAATAAATGAAAAACATGTTTTTCTACAGACTGTAGCGCGAAAACGGCTCTAACGATTTTGATTAACCTTTCCTATAATGTTCTAATAATTGTCCTTTCAATTTTCGTATATGTACTAAATTCCCGAGAAAATACAGGAAAAAAGTTACAAAGAAAAGAAAAATGTTATGGGGCCTAACTCCCTAAGTATATATTATTCACTAAACTTTATAATAAAACTTTTGAAAGATAATTAAATTACCAACAAAACAAAAAAAATCGTTCATTTTGGACAGCTATTCAATTTCCAATGAATGATTACGGGTTCATATCCTGGTGTCAGAAAGGGGTGAATGAGAGATAAAACATAACTAAGTGAAAGTAAGAAAATTTGTTGCCTGCATCACACAATCTTCACTATTTCCTCTACTTTTAATAAAATTATTGTTTGATAAAATTAGGAGATGGCAAAAAATTTTTGATCAGCAATATTAGAGGGTATTGAAATTTTCACACTGACCGACCTTAAGCCGGTTTACATTGCTTTAGTTAATAAATCGTACTCAAATCTTTTCTTTAATAAATTTTCAGGAAAATAAATCTAATTCAATTTTGTTTTGTTTCTTCATGAGCACATGTAAAGATATAAAAGCTTTTATTAAATAGGTAGGAAAGTCGTGTGAGTGGACACATCAGATTTTTATTATTAATTTTAGTGATGTTTCTAGTGTCAAAATTGATACCTTTATTCACAGTTCTATATCTCAACACTGCAAACACCTACTCTAGAATCAACTTACTCAATGTCTGAACATATATATATTTTCCAACTCGAAATATCACTAAAATATCATTACCCGAAAATGTTGAAATTGGAATTAGTCATTCTGCCAACTGAAAGGCTCATATATTGGTCGTGAAACTAGGAAAATTGATATCCCATTAAAAATTATTCAACTATGTTTTGTAATGATCGAAAATAAAGGGACCGAATGCTTAAATTCTCTTTACCTAACTTCAATTTGATTCAATGTTTTTCTTATCTGTTTCTGAGCAAGCAGTGAACGGTTTTATTAACAAAAATTGTTTTGCTATTTTGCTTTTTCATTGGCTAAAACTGCTATACTGTTTTAGTTTTATACTACATCATGTCTTGAAAAATGATGTCAAAACTGTAGGATTAAAAGAAATCCTAAAGTATCCTTTAACAATACCCCACTTATCCCTGTTGAACAAATCAGATACCTAGGACTCCATCTGGACAAACGAATCGCTTGGAACACTCATACCAGAATGAAACGACTAGAAACCGCTCGACTACAGCAGCAGTTACTAGACAAACGCTCTAAACTGTTTACAAAAGATATATTACGATAATAAGGCCTATTTGGACTTACGGAATCGAGCTTTGGGGCTCTACTAAACAATCAAATTCTTCTCGTATCTAATTCTTACAATCCAAAATCCTTCCAAATAAAATCAGTTTCCGATTTAGCTCAATCCAGATACCTATCCTTCCATAATAAACTTCTGAACCATCCGAACCCTCTTGTTTCTAACCTTGCTTCCTCCTCGATCCCTGATAACCCTCCGAGTCGTCTGAAAAGAAGACGGCCTCAAGACCTTCTAATATAGAAATAGAATTGGAATGCTACCAATGGGTAGTTTCTCTTCATTTTGCACATGCCATGTTACTTATTTCATACTTTCTTGCTGTATTTATCATTTAATATAGTTGTAAATTCCCATAAAAAAATAAAATAAAAAAGTTTTATACCCCTCAGTCCTAACAAGCTAGATATATAACAATGACAACTTCAATAATATCAAGTATTGCATATTATTTTACAGGTGAGCCGATAATAATATGTTCAGAAGTGAAGAAAGAAAATATGCTGCGGTTAAGAAGAAAAGTAGCTACAGCTGAAAGTAAGTCTGGAAGAAAATATCAACATCATCAAATATCTTCCGTGAATAGAATCCCCTCTTCGACCAAAGCCGCAGCTCCCTCTTTGCCCGACGTAGAGGAAGCCGACACCGAACTACCCAACCCCTACAAGGACCAGAGCAGAGAACAGACTGCGACGACAAGCCGGGGCTACAGCGCGCCCACCCACCGCTGGGGGTTAGTGTCAGGTCTGAGGAGGAGGAACAGGGTAGAAGATGTTTCACAGGGGAGCAAGAAACCCACCATGGATGAGGAGTTCCTCAAGATCATCCAAGGAAGACCTATAAAGACCACTCTTGTTCGCCGGCAGTACATAAAGGAGGTGAGGGAAAGGTTGTTGAACAACGTCCTTTCGGGATTCATGCAGGACGAAATAAGGGCGAAAGAAGAAAACGCTATGGCAATAAATGCGGTGGTAGAGAAAACCCAGAAAGAAATCGAAAACACGTCTAAATCGCTGGCCGATTTTCTATCAGAAAAGCAGAAAAAGTGCGAAAACCTGACGGAGAAATTGGACTCGGTGGTAAAAGAAAGGAAAAAAATGGAAGCAATGATAGAAAATGAAAAGAAGAGAATGAATGAAGTAAAACTAAATATTTTCAAACAAAATGAACAACTCGAGACAATGCGGAAATGCAGAGATTTTGTTTTTCAAATTGCACCACAGGAATGGAAAGAGGAATATGCCAAAGAGACTGAAAAGAGGCAAGAAGAAGTGAAAGAAGAAAGCGAAAAGATGAGGACAGCGCTAGAGAATTTTAAAACTCATTGTGGCGGCGAAGACTCTGGATTAGAAAAAGTTTTAGAGGACTTTGTTGAAGAGTTTTCAAAAGCCGGACCTCCGCTACTACCTTTTTCTGAACCGAAAATGGTGATAACCCTTTTCAAAGATCTTGAAATGAAGAGTCTCAGGGCCTTGGAGAACAACGCGATATTGAAAGAGAAAGTCGTTAAGGCAAAACAAATCTGCGACTTTCACGAAACGTTTTTGAAAAAAGAAAAAAATATCATAGATGAAAGGTTGAAAGATATAAAACAAAATATTGAAAGGGAGGAGAAAAAGGTAAAGAAGAAGGAACAACTACTTCAAACAATGTTGAATGGTCCTTTTAAAACAATGGTAGCTTCTGAAAAAGTCCTTAAAGAATTCGCTCTTGTCAAGGATGTTTATGAGGAAGTGATTGATGAGCCAAAGGAAGGTCTGAGTACATTGGAGATGTTACAAGAAATTGGTGAATTGTACGTGGACCTGAATCGAAAGTTGGAACATCTTCCAGAGTCCACCAGAAATGAATTGAAAAGGAAAGTGAAGAGTGAACTTCAAAACAAAATGAAGGAGGCTGAAAAAGCGAAGTGTCGGAAGAAACAGGTGTTGCAAATGATGAAAGGTGTACAGAGATCGAGGGAGAAACCTTGGAAACCAACTGGCAGGAAATTGCTATATAGATCACCCCTTGAACTTGAAGACCGTCCAGCAACTGCACCGGTGAAGAGTTCTATCAAGGAACCAGAAGAGGAAGAATCTGGCGGGGAAGCGGAAGAACTTCTTCCTTTGGTCTGGGCTTCGAACCATCCAGGGCCTGGATCTTACAAGAGAGAAATGTCAGTTGTTTTACCAGATCCCACCGACTTCCTGCCTGATCTCCAGCTAATAGACACTGAAGAGAGCGAAACGTTATTATCAGAATCCGAAGAAGAGCAAGATAAAAAAGGAGGAAAGTCTCAGCAGAGTGAAGAAAAAAAGATAAAGAAGAAGAAAAGAGTTAAAATAATACTTTCTGATTCAGACTAAACCAACATTATGTTATGAGGAAGTTTAAAACCATATGAATTGTTTAAACTCCTTTAAAATATATTGGAACAAATAAGACTCTGATGTAAATATATAATTGATAGAGGAGACCAGTAAGCCATCAGTAATTGCATCGTTGAATAAAGGAATGAACTGAATTCCATCAATGGGTACCACATGCAATCATAAAATTATTTTTCTAAAAACCAAAACCTGCTTTATTTATTCAATAAATAAATAATAAATTTTGTTATTTATTTATCTAATGCACAAATATTATAGCTTGCTTTATAATCTTTATGTAATACTACATCTACATAGCTATATAAGACTGCACTATCTACCCAAATGAGTTATTATGACAATAAATATTTCTTTCCTATAAAATGTATTATTATTTAGATAAAATTTTTCATATAAGAGCTTTTTATTAATTATTTATTATAATCAATGGTACCTTTTTATTTTTTTCAATTGTTCTTTCCTTTCATTATTAAACTTTATCATGTGATATAAATATTTTTTTGTATTGTGGACATAGGCGCATACTTTGGGAGAGGGAACCAAAGAGCTGTCTGGTTTTTTTTTGTAATGGAATCACAGAATCGTAAGAATTGTTTAAGGGTAGTTATGGATTCACGGGTAATCTGAGAAATGTAAAAATGAAATGAGAAATTCCAAGAGAGGTTCTGATCCAAGATCACTCTGAGGCACGAGCGGATCTATGGGGCGAGGGAGGGTCCTTTCGGGTTGAAGCCCCACCTCCCAAAATGGTAAAATATAATAATGTTTTATGATAAATTATCTCTGAAAGTTTTTTGTTAGTCTAATTACATTTAATAGGACTTAAAGAATCACTTAAGTACCATTTCATATAGGTAGTTAGTTTCTTTCTTTCTTCCGAAGTAATTATTCCGATATATGCATACAAAAAAAAAATCTTTCTGGATGAAGCCTCCCCTCCAAAATTAAATCATGGTATAGTATAGGAGATAAAGGAAGGGGACTAATGAGATGCCTGGAGCTGATGAATCGGTTTTATCTGCGTTCAGTTTTATTTTATTTTTTTTTTACCCACCTATGGATACAGTCAATATCCTCTTGTAGTTTTCGGATAGCCTGAGGCATCTCAGATGGTTGGAATGATAAGTAAATTTGTATATAAGTGATTTGCAGATCTGTTAATTTTTTTTAACATTAATACTTTTAGAGATAACTTTTTAATATTTTTTTCACAAGACATGGTTAACTTTACAATTTTGGAGGGCTTTAGCCCAGTAACTTTAAAGCAGGCTTTTGACATATTTTAACATCATAAATACAAGTATCACAGTTCTTGTTTTTTCTATCTTCAATAAAAAGAATGACACAAACTAATAAAAGAAAATAATTGTAAGCCAATCTAACCAACTGTGAGAAAAATTCTTTGGAAGATTTCATGTTCTTTATTTTTAATAATTTTTTTGTTTACATTAAATCATGAAACCAAAGTCTTCAGTTAAATGTTAATTTAACTTAACAATGCCTGAGCAAAACAAGAATATTTGATAAGCGAGCGCCATCTCTTGAGTAGTTTCCAAACTAACAAAATTCATTAAATAGCCAACAGATGGCATGACATACAATGCTTTGATATAAATCAGTATTATTATCTTGCTTTCTTTTTTCCATCATTAGTTTTTGCTATTCACATTTAATGAACATCATAATAAATAATAAAAACAAAAATAATGATCAATTCTGACTATAAAAACGATTACATAATGATAAATTAAAATATATACTAATGCATATATTAAGTTATTAAAAAATATAATAAATTAAAAACTGATGAGAAAAAGTGAAATAAGATAACAGCTACTTAAATATAATAATACCAAAAGGATAATTAAATTAATATAACATAAGCAAACAATCTTAACTAACACAGAATAAATAAGTAAGAGGAAGGAGATGGTACAGGGTGGCGGTCATAAATAGACTAAAATAGTGGAAAAACTATTTTATTTCAAGCCAACGTTTCGACCCGACTTTGCAGGTCTTCTTCAGGGCTAGAATGGACAAGATACAAAAGGATATAGAAAATTGTGGAAGTTACATAAAATTTATAAACAAGGTGAATAAACTTATTGAAATTATAAACAGTAAATACATTGAAATATTAAGAATGTTACTTAGTTTACTCTGTTTATATAGTTTATTGTTCTTAATATTTCAACGTACTTACTGTTTACAATTTTAATAAGTTTATTCACCTTGTTTATAATTTTCATCTAATATTATGTAACTTCCTCTATTTTAGTCTATTTATGACCTCCACCACCCCGGACCATCTCCTTCCTCTAAAATACACAACGGTCAACTATTAAGTTTTCAAAAAATAAGTAAATTAATTTCTACTTCTGTTATTTAAAAAATGTTTAACTAAATCAACATAATTGCTTAGAAAATGTGATAATAAATAAAAATAATAGTAAACTGTATGCAATGGCACTGTACAAAAAAAATATCAAATATGTATTCTTATTCTTTACAAAACAAAAAGAAATGTATAAAAAAAAAATTAATCCGTATTACATAATAACATTTAGGCAGAGTCTGTGTGAGTTGTGAAGTGGAATTGGAGAAGGAGAGTTTTGAAATGTGGGTAAAGAGGGGCATGGCAAATTTTAAGAGGGAGAGAATTCCAAATGGTCGGCAATGAAAGAGTTTTGGAATAAGGCAGGTCTAAGAAAAGGAGTCAAGGGGGACTTGGAATTGAAGGAGATTGTAGTCATAGGATGGGGGATGGTTGTTAATTATTTGGTAACGGAAAGTACCAAAGAAATATAGTTTTCTAACTATATATTCTTTAACTCAGCATAATAGTGGGAAACATGGGAACGTCTCGGGGTCCCATAAACGAATTTTATTAAACTATTCATAATTCTTCTTAGTCTCGCTCTTAGCGGGGGTGGTGCCTCTCGACCTCCTCCAGCAACAAGTGACCAGGTACGATTACAAGAGGGAGGGCTCAACAGATCTGTCGGAGAACCTATGGATGAGGATTATTGAAAACCCAAATGAATGAAAAGAGATTATCCGGGAGGAAACAATTGAAGATTGGAGCAGACAGTGGGTGACGACTCCGAAAGGCAGTATCTTAAGAAAATATTTCCCCACTGTTGAATCTCGGTTACAAGCGACATGGTTACTCCCAAACTATTGGGTATCACAATTTTTCATGGGACATGAAGGTTTCAGAGCTAAACTTCTTGGCCTCGAACAGGATATAGATATCCACTGCTCCGCTTGTGGTGTTGCGGAAACAGTTGAGCATGTGGCCACGATGTGCACTGCTTTTGACGGATTAAGAGCCAGGTTAATGAGAACCACGGTAATTTACGTCCTCACTGAGGAGGAGAATATTTAAAATTGGTGTAGTAGTAGGGCTCCTTCTCTTGACAAGTATATTTTTTCCCATGTGCCAGTGCAAATCAATAGCTGATATAGTTTTCAGTTTTGTTCGGAGATAGAAGGCAACTGTCTGCTACACCAGTTTTAAATAATAGTACTTTCACTTACCTATATATGATATATATAGTAAAGGAAAGTATTGCGATCATGAAAATTTTCGAATCTCAGTTTTCAATGAAAGTACACGTTTTGAGGCCCCCTGAGTCCATACAACTAAGTCCGCAAAATGGTCTGTGCGTGTGTGTGTGTATGTTAACAGTCTAGTTCAAAAAAGAAAAGTCGTACGAAAGTGAAATCGCACATTTAAAGTTTTTATATGCTAGGCATGTTACAGCAACTTCTCTGTCAAAATCGGCTAACCGGAAGTGGCACTTTATATAATCTATTATATCGGAGTTTCCTCAGTTGGTGAATGAAGAAAACTTGCAGTGGTTCAAAAGAGTTCATAAATGGCTGGAAGACGGCGGTGGGCCCAGCTCACTTCAACCTAGGTGCACGCAGAAGGAAAAGAGGCCCAGTCCCAGGAAGACCTCCGGATTCGGGAAGCCAGGCCTAATTTGCTGAAGAATAAGGAAAACAAAAAGAGCTAACTGTGTGCACAGCTTTGAATTTTGTAAACTGATATTATGACAGTAGTGTGTTATTATATAGTGTGTTATTATGCATTAATGCTTAACATCACACTACTGCATACACCCGTATTGCCCTGGTGGCATGGGAGGGTGGAAAATAAATAAATAATAATTCTTCTTAGTCTGTCTCTGAGATCCACTAAGAGGACACCTTACACCACACAGCCATAGTCAAGATGCGAAAAGATGAGGAAGAAAACTAAGAGTCTACTTGCAGGTTTAAGTAAGATACTTACAGGGCAAAAGCGATGGAACAGATTGAGGGTGCCAATTGATCAACAGGAGATATGAGATATATCTCATTTATAATATATTGATTCCAGGGGAGACTTTGGTCAATGATGATGCCTGATTAGCAAAACCATTTAACTTCTCGGTGAGATTTTTGTAATGAATAGGTTTATTATTTTAATAATTTCCATGTTTTTGTGATTTTCATAACTTTATTTATCATTTGATCCATGGTATTAGGTCATCACAAGGATATATTAGTTCAAAAAAATTTCTTGGTGGAGGTCTGTTTTTCTTATTTAGTTTGTTTCAAAATTTTGAAATTCTGACAACCAGACTCTCTCTTTCAATTCCTCATAAATATGTTATATATATTTGTTATTATATTTTTAATTGGTTTATATAAATATAAATATAGGTTTATATAAATAGAATTTTATAAACTTATAAATTTTAAAATTAAACTTCAGAATAAAAAAGTTGCAGTTGTGTTGGTCAGTGCCAATAGGCGAATCACTGTTTGCCAATAGATTGGCTTCGAAAGAAGTGGAGATTAAACATGAATAGATTTAGTACAATAGTACAGTATAAGTTTGTTTACAATAAAATACATATAAAGAATTTATCCTTACCATTCAAATTATCTTTAATGTATGTATCCTGTTTATCTATTGCTCTTTGTTTATTTATGCACATCTGTCTTTATCTTATAATTCTGATTTAATTTTAATGAAGCCTATTCATCCCTCTTTTCCCAGTCCGCTGGTGTTCCTTTGTATTATTCTAGGTCCTATCCTTTATACAGTTTACACAGCTGACATATAATCCCTACCTGTCCCAAAACTGTCATCACCACCTATGCCGATGACACGTGTATCCTATCAGTAAACAATGATCCATCAATTGCATCCCAAATGCTTCAATCACACATCATGAAGAATGCTGTAAAAACTGGAGGATTAAAATAAATTCCAATAAATCCCACCAAATTATCTTTACTCTTCGTCGTAAAACTATGACTTCCTGTCCTACAGTTTCCTTTAACAATACTCCACTTATCCCTGTTGAACAAATTCGATACTTAGGACTCCACCTGGTCAAACCTCTAACTTGGAATCCTCATACCAGACTGAAATGACCAGAAACCACTTGATGTTTCCGATTACTTCAGCACTTACTAGATAAACGCTCTAAACTTCAATTAATTACAAAAGACTCATATAAATGACTATAATAAGGCCTATTTGGACTTACGAGATCGAGCTTTCGGGCTCCACTAAACCATCGAATTCCTCCCGTATCCAATCCTTACAATTCAAAATCCTTCATAAAATCCTCAATGCTCCCTACTTTGTTACAAATAAAACCATCCACAATGACCTTAATATCTCTTATGTTTCAGATCTGGCCCAATCCAGATATCTATCCTTCCATAATAAACTTCAGAATCATCCCAACCCTCTTGTTTCTAACCTTGCTTCCTCTTTAATTCCTGATAACCTTCCGAGGCGTCTAAAAAGAAGATGGCCCCGTGATCTCCTAATGTAAACATATCATTAGAGTGCTACCATTCGGTAGTTTCTCAACAATTGTTTTCATGTCATTATATCCGTATGTTCAAATTTACTAAATATATTTTATTAATACAGTTGTAAATATCACTAAGAAACTTTTTAAAAAATTTTTAATAATAATAAATTATGACCTCCACAATCTTGGGTCAAAGCATTGGAACCATAATAAACAGAAATAGATATGAAACGTTGGGCAGTTTAACATTTTTTACTTAAACATAGTGCCGATGATATGAATAAAAATCCTGATCATTTATTCATCAACCTCCAAAACAGGTAACAAAATTCATATCTAAATGTAATCCGTCACTTTTGAATTCCTCTCTTTAAAATTTCATAGCAACTGAAATAACAGATTAATTTAAAAGGAGTAAACCAATAAAACAATTTTTTGGTAAAGAATTTTATCTATATTTATGACATAATTTACAGTGGATTGATATATAAAATCTAATTTTATTTCACCAATCGATACAGGCTTCGCAGTGCATTTAAAATAAATATATCATATATTACATATTACAACTCCGTATTACAATAATAATAATTAACTATTAGTCAGTCAGTGATCTTGAAAGATTAATAATATTTTTTCTTTATTTTAACTTCGAAAATGATAACCATATAGTAACATTTATATAAAATAATAATAATACAAAAAACTCTCAAACAAAAAACAAAACACACAAATGGCAACTGATAATTGTTATACAAGTATCTATAATAATAATAATAATTATGATAATAATAATAATATAGCAGAGTAAATACACTGTACAATAAACTCAATATAAAACAGACAAATTGGTACAAATTCACAGCAATTAAGGGGTCTCAGCGCCAACTCAACGACATATGCTAAATGTTATTGTCTCAATATTTACAATGCAACATGTTTTTTGTTTGTTTTATTTTTTTTTAAAGTAGAAGTCGGTGCTGGGTATATTGCCAGTGGGAAATAGTGCTATCCTAATTAATGACAACTGAAATCATCACTTATTGCTACGATAAGCACAATACAAACAATGATTAACAATATTAAACTAAATCAATAATACATTATTATGCAACAAACTAACAATAAAAATAAATATTTTTTCCCTTAACATATGGGATTATGTTTTTGAAAATTCTATTTGCAATCGAGAATGAGTGATCAATATATTTGACAAAGTGAAAAGCAGCCAGAAATTTACTAAATGTATAAAAGACATGTTATTTCTCAATGGAACCTCTGAGCAGCGGACAGTATACTGGGACCAGACGATAATAACGTGGTGCCGAGGCTAACAAAAAACCTTCAAGGCCTACGCCAAGGTTCAAACAACTCTCTAACACACTTATACGATAAGTATACAAATATATGAATAATTAAAATCAAACATAATTCTAAAATGCAGCAATAACGCATATAAATTGAGAACAACTAACAAAAAAGCTTTTATAAAGTAACGTCGAATTATCATTATTTGAGCTTGAACTATATAATAAATATACAATTATAAAATATAAATATATATAAACTTTTTGCAAGCGACTTGGTAACTGTCGACGTGCTTCAAAGTAAAAGCAACAATTTTTTTCAGAAAACAAAACAAATGAGCAGAAAACAGTAGAAAGCACCTGCTAAGGTTCGTTCATTTTTTTTTCTTTACTTTATTTTATTTACTTTTAAAATTTAATCCTTATACAAATATACAAAAAATAAAGCGTCCATATTAATCACAGATGAGGCGCTATAAAAAAAAGAAATGAAACAAAGCTTGATGCGATCGTGAGCAATCTACTCCAGGCAAAGAGAGACAAACTATACCAAAGAAGGGCATAATAACAAACAGATTCCTACGTGAAAATACATGCTTCTTCTGTTGTGTTTTCAATATCACGGTGAGGACTCTACATTCAACATACAAAGGAATTAGCAAAAGGTTAAGTTACAGATATACAACAACAATGACTACAAATATTACAATCCATCTGAGAACGCCTGTATGCTTTCCGTTTTCCTTAATAGACGGGATTCAACTGTGTGGTCAATGCTGAAAAAGCTTATTTTTGAAAGATAAAAATTGTACTGAATTAACATAAGCGCTGGCCTATCTAGCCAAATAGACTCAAAGGTTCCACAACTATCGATAATTCTTTCGACAAATCAATACAAATATAAACATATAAAGAGATTTTATTTCCAAACTTTACAAGAATAAGCTGAGAAAGCTTGACCCCTTTCTCTCGCGGTGTCCTTCTCCCTCTCCATGCCTCTCTTCAAGATATTACCTCCAATAATCGAACAGTGAAAGGACCAGAACAACGTAACAGAATACAAGCAGATGCACACGAGGACAGATCCGGAGGGAGACAGGCAACAGTTCAGACAAAGATGCTTTGGTATGTTATGTTTCACTCGCGCCCCTCTACCTCCCTTTCTTTTTCGACTGCTTTGCTAGCTTCCTCCTCTTGAGGATCATCTCGTAGAGGCAGTCTATCCCCTCGAATAGTCCCTCACCGGTGATCGCGCACGCGGGTTGCACGGTCCACATGTGGCTCGGCGTCAGCTCGTGGAGGCCCAGCAGCTTCTCGAGCTCCTTGGGCTCCTTCGCGCCGGGCAGGTCCTGCTTATTGGCCAGGACCAGGACGGGGACACCAGCGTTGTCTGGTGAGCGTGCGGTCCTGGCCAGCTCCATTTTGGCCTCTTCCATCCGCTCTAAGTCAACTGAGTCGAGGACGAAGACGATCCCATCGGTGCACCGAGTGTAGGACTTCCAAAGAGGTCGTAACTTTTCCTGACCTCCGACGTCCCACACAAGGAAAGAGATTCCCTTTGATTTGCCAACAGCTCCTTTGACCTACAAAAAGGAAAAACAGACTGTTAGAGAAATATTTCATAACTATAATAGAAACACAAAAAATAAATAAACACATAGACATAACAAAAGAATCTTATAACAGAATTAATATAATTAAAAGTTTGGGTGCAAAAACCAGTTAACATCACTTTTAATCAAAATTTAATATTTGTTATAAAATGCTAAACCAACACTGATAAAGAGAGGCAGAACAGATCGGCCTACAAGTAAATGAAGGCAAATCAAAATATATGATAATAAGCCGAAAATTTTACCCCAATAACAGGACCTGGGTAGAAGCACGGACAGATATAGAGGTGGGGGAGAGGGGCTTTCAGGCTGAACCCCCCCCCCAAAATGGTAAAACATAACCATGTATTATGAAAAAAAAATTTTAAAAATATCTCTTAAAGTATTATTGTTCGTGTAATTACATGTAAAAGGACTTAAGGAATAACTTCAACACCATTTCATATAGATAGCTAGTTTCTTTCGGTTTTTCCAAAATAATTATCTTTATTTTTATAAATAAAAAAAAGCTTCCGGGCTGAAGCCCCTCCAAAATTAAATCCTGGATCCACTAGTGGTTAGAAGGAAAATCATTCCCGAGAGTAGAAAAATTCAAATACCTCAGCTCCACAATAACCTCTATGAATGACCAACGGGCAGAAATAGACCAGCCTATAACTAGCATAAACAGAGCTTTCTTCTCCCTCTCAAAGGTATTGAAATCCCGAAAAATCTTAAGAAATCTCAAACTAAGGGTGTACAATGCTATGATAAAGCCAGTTCTAATATATGGTTGTGAGACCTGGACACTAACCAGCACCCTAAAGCGTTGAAAGAATTGAGAACACGATAACCTGAGCGATCTGGGATCAGAGTACTGACACATGGAAAAGAAAGACCAATAAAGAACTCCTTACAGAAACTGGTCAATCAATATTCCATGATATGAAGGCAAGGATGTATGATGGGCGGGGCATGTAGCTCATAGCAATACATCTGGAAGCCTCTACATAACAATGAATACCTCAATAAAAGGGAAAAGCCCACGTGGAATGCCAAAAAGCAGATGGATAGATAGAATCAACAAAGATGCAACAGAGCTGCGTGCAGATAACTGGAAAGAAATAGCCCAAGGCAGGCAAAGATGGCTTGTTGAGGCGGCAAAAGATCTACATGGTCTGAAATGCCAACAGAAAAAAAAAAATGTGCTGAACAAAATTAACGCATCACTTTGTTTATTTAAAAATTATCGATATAGATTTGATAGATATGATTTAATTAATTAATATAGAATATATTAATATACTAATCAATATAGAAAAATAGATTTGAAAATTGCATTGAAAGTTATAACAATAAAAGTTTAAATATAATTCATTCCGATGATTGATTCCTGTTTTATCTTTGTATTTCTGTTTAATCCTTTCAGTCATTTACAGTGTTTCAAGAATTCGTTGCTACTAGTATACTAATTTGGTCTTCTACTACGGATACTGTCTTTCATAATGGTGTTCATTAAAAACATTACAATAACAATTGTTGAAGTTATTATAATCTTCATTAAATCGAGTACTTAGCCCGCTTTAATGTATAGTCGGAAGAAGGTGGGTCAAGATCACATCAATCACACTTAACATAGAATTTTAAAGTCTCTTATTGTGGCTGAAATTGGTGAACGAAATTAGTAATATCCTCACTTTAAATGAAAAAGACCTCATAGGGGGGGTTTATTTACCATCTATTAGCTAGTAGGTTGTCATGTAGAAACATTAACGTTTAAGAAAATTGGACCTCGACTGCAAGAGAGGTTTGAAAGAGTAATTCTTAGTTAATACTAGTACACTCTAAGATAAGTTTGAGTGTGGGTAGAGGGGGAGAGAGATGTACAGTGGCATAACATTTTCCCGTCTACCCCCACTCTTTTGTCTTCTCTACTCATTCATATGTACTTCTAAATTTTTGTTTACAAGTAGAAATTTCTTTTATCTTTTTTTTTCCATTACTTTCCTTGATTCCTAAATTGATTCACAGAAAGATTGGCTGTTTACATAATGCGATTCATTTGATTCGAGCTAATAGAGTACAGTCTAAAGTAATACATAATGTGGACTATTCTCCTTGTTTACATTCAGAAGTAAATGAAAAAGGCTCCAACCCATAATTGAATATCGTTGTATTGGATTCTTTTCTGTTCTACATTTTCTATCTGATTTCTTTAAGATCTGTTTCTTGATAAATTTAGATCTACAGACCCTAGTAATAACATCGAGTTCTGAGAACAGTAGAACCTTGCGAATTCGTATATATATATACATTTTTTTTTTTCTCAATTTGATTATTTAAACATCCTTTTCATTGTTTTATTTTATTTTTAAATAAAATCCCTACCTTTAATAAACATTTGTACAAAATTTGTAGGAAATGGGATAACGCTTTCCGATATAAGGAGGTTGCTATGGAGAGGTGGAATTTTCGTAGGGGAAAGCTGTGCAAGCTTCCTTCCTCTACACTCAAACTTAGATGCACTATGCCCATATGTGAGAACGGTTGATCGCATCTTGATGATAAAGACAGTAAACTTTTTAAACTTTGCAAGGAACTCAGCATCTCTTTTTATATCATAATACACAAAGACTGAAATGGCAATAGAATGGTCAGTAGGTTGGTTGAGGGTGTGCATGAATGTTTCAGCCTATGAAGGATCCAACAACTGAGGAACTCTGTTACCCATGCAAGAGATAAGAAAGAAATGATCGACAGCAGCTGAGCAGGCCGAGGGCAGCTTCATGTCCCTCTTGTGTCGAGAGAAGAAGGCAAAAGTGGTCAACATTCAGCTACTTTAAGAACTTCATCGGCAGTATGACTGTTGTGATCTTGACCCCCCTGTTAACCAAGCATTTTCATTTCTTCTCTGGTAACAATAATATCAACAACTTAACACATTAAAGGCGGGAGTCGTAGTACTACGATTTATCTCGACTAAGATCCCTAAGACTAAGACTAAGATACGAGATCCCCCGCCTTTAATGTGTTAATATAAAAATAATATATCAGCAAACAACTGAAAGATGGAATCTCTTAAAGATTAGTCCCAACACTAAAGTTGATAAAAAATAAGTTTATAAATTCTTTTTGTTTTATATTTTTAATGTCTTTCTTGACCACCTCCTTCTCGATTTATCATTTTGTCAACCATTATAATTTATACATAATTTATATTCTAAATTAATTTGCTCAGAAATTATAACTTAATTGGCAGAATATAAATTAAATATTAAAAAAAAAAAAAAACATACCTTTTCACAGTTGAAACCTATCGTGGGAACTGTGTTGAGGTATTGGTCAAACTTGAGCCTATAGAGGGCAGTGGTCTTCCCGGCCGAGTCGAGGCCGAGCATCACAATGTGGAGCGTGGCGCCCGGCGTAGGCAGAGCGTCCAGCAAAGAGCCGGGCTTTCCCATGTTGGCACCCATACCGTCCGCTTCTCTCAAGCATCTGAACAAATTGTTTACAATTAGAATCTTTATTCAGGCTAGATAAAAAAACTATATATATATATATATATACATCATCATCACACATTAATAAACAATCTTCTATTTAAAAAAAATATTTACCAATCACTTATTCTGCTCCATTTGTTAATAACAAAAGAAAAAGATTGCCGCAATATTAAAAAGTGAATCTTTACAGAAGAATTTAAAGTTTCCATAATTAGGTTATACAAAAACATTAAATTAGTCGAAGAGAAGAATGGTTGGGATGATCAGTCAAAAAAAATAAAAATTAAGAAGTATATTTATCTTCGGCTTAAATTTCAAGCCTTCATCTGGGCTGATCGAACAAAACGATTTTGCAAGACTAACCATTAAATTAGTCATTTTTTAAAATCAATAATGCTTACCTTCATTAATTTTTTGTTTAAATTTTATTATGATATTTACAACAGTATTAGTATGAATACATCAAGTAAATGTGTACAGAGGAATATAATCACATGAAACACCCTTGTTGAAAAAGTACCCATTGGTAGCACTCTAATAATTTGTCTAAATGAGGAGATCACGAAGCCTCGGAGGATTATCAGGAATCGAAGAGGAAGCAAGGTTAGAAACAAGAGGATTCGGATGGTTATGAAGTTTATTATGGAAGGATAGGTATCTGGATTGGACCAAATCGGAAACATATGGAACATTGAGGTCTTTATGGATTATTTTATTTGTGACCAAGTAAGGAGCATTGAGGATTTTACGAAAGATTTTGGATTGTAAAGATTGGATACGAGAGGAATTCGATGGTTTAATGGAGCCCCATAGCTCAACTCCATAAACCCAAATAGGCCTTATTATAGTCATGTATATGACTCGTTTGTAACTAATTGGAAGTTAAGAGCGTTTGCCCAGTAAGTATTGGAGTAAGCGGAAACGTTGAGCAGTTTCTTGTCGTTTCAGTCTTTTATGAGGATTCCAAGTGAGACGTTTGTCCAGCTGGAGTCCTAGGTATGGGATTTGTTCTACAGGGATACCTTCATTAATTGAAAACAAAAATTAATCTTAATTTTTTGATTATTTAAATATTAACCATGAACTAAATTGTAGAGAAATTTCACTTTTAAAAATAAAATAAATTGTAGTTGTGGTAAATATGTAAATTAAATATCTGAAGTTTTTTTTTTTTAAATTTAGATGAATCGAAATCACAAACTTTCAAAACAAACGACAGTAAATTTACAAGTTGAGTTAGTTAATACACTTGACTACATTGTGCCTTGAAAAATATATAAAAGTATATTTGTCCTACAGGATATTTATGATAAAATATAAAAAAACTTTATTTTAATTTACCTCAAACTGTTTTAACGCTTAATGAAAACTCTTGTATATTTTAGTTATTGGTAAAGTAGATGTTTTCACTCCAATATAAAGAGGAATAATTGATATATTTTATTTACATTAATCTTTTTTTTTCAGCAAGTAAGTATTCTTATTTATCATGAATTAAATAAACCTTATGTTTAATTTAAGTAAATTCAAAATAGATTCAATTGTTATAATTATTTAACAATCCTTATTTATCATAAGTTTCATAAAATTTAATCATGTGATAAGATATAAGAAAATAATATAAAGAATTAAAACAAAAAAAATTTCTACAGATTTATTTTTAATTAAGAAGTGGAATGCATGGCTAATAAAGATATTAGAAAAATCTTGATATGTTTCTATATTTTTGTTGGGTATTTATTATATTTGGTATGGTACTATGAATTGAACATAGCGAGTAAGCTTTTATAATTGTTATGAGGTACCGAAAGCAAACTTAAAATATGCTGACACCAAACATATCTGCTGACTTCAAAGGATAGCGTCTAAAAGATGGAGCTCAGGTACCTGCCTGGACACTGCAAGGACCGAGAGAGGCCTGCGGAAGGGCGTTCCTTATAGTAACTGGTTACTAGTAACGGGCTAAGTAACTGGTTCCCTTTAGAGTGTGGCCAGTGAAAATAATTGTACACCCGAAGTTCTGAACCAATCAAAACCATCCTTGCCACACTCTGAATATTTTTATAAAATCTCTCAGGAAGTAATAAAAGGGGTCTTAAGTATTTTTCTGGAATTGGGAACTGTAGTGCCAGCTACATACAGTGGGACCTACACGGATGGGCGTCTTGGGAGAAATTGGACCTGGGCTTTGATTGGGCAAGAGGAGATTCAATCAGTTGATGCAGTGAAGAAACCTACTAATTACATCACTTCATAAACCATAGCCTAACTTGCAATTGCCAATCCTAATGTTAAAATATTTCATGGCAATAATTCTCAAACAGTTGATCTGAAATCATAACTTCATAGTCATTTATTAAATTCATTGAATCATGTATTTAGTTTCTTGCAAATATAATTTGTATATATACTTTATAAAACATGAGAATAAAATAAGTTTTTTAGTAAAAGTTATTTTAATTCTGCCACCCATTTATATCTTGATGATCTCTTGCATGATAAACGCAAACCAACCTTTGAGAAAAGAAATCCAATTAATTAATCCTGGACCAATCAATATATTATAGATCCAAATTTATTTTACTAATTTTGCATTATTAATTTTTAATAAGCATTTCTGTGTAATTATTAATCAGTGGCATCCCAAATAAATTTAAGACCCCAAAACATAGCAATAAATATTAAAATATAGCTAACAAAATCTTTTTTCTAATAAAAAAATTCAATAAATAGAAAGATAAAATTGGAAATTCCTACAATGAATGCTACGTCCCAAGTCAGCTCATAAAAATGAGATTATTTAATTTTATCATTACTTTACGTTGGTGTGCTTAGAATTTACTTATATTGAATAGTTTTTGAGCAATTCCTTCTTATTCAATAAAACCGCGACTGATCATCTTTTAAGAAAGAGACAAAATTTATCTTAAATTCTTTTCCGTTCGGAATCGGCCCATGCATCAAATGAACTTTTTTGTTGGAAATTTTGAATAGAATCCCCCCCCCCCCCCCCCCAACTCCTTCTCCAGAGTTAGACCACTAACAACTAAGATACACTGTATATAATAGATCTTAGATGTGTAAAAGAAATTTTTGAAAAATCAAATAAAAAATTACTTGAATTTTACTACTTAGAACATCTAATTATCTTTTTCACTGACTTATACTATACTTGGCTTCTGTATCCTCTCTTTATGACATAGATTCGGTAAACAGACTTCTTAAGGTATTTCAATGTCTGGAAAAGCAGATAATACCTGGCTTAACTGCGTACCTGGCCTCAACAAAACAACTATTATTGCTAGCAGACGATGTTATGTTAGCTGGGCTATAAACAACTCATTAACAAAACGACCTTCATCGCCGTCGTCGTAAATTTATTTTCACAAAAACACTCCAAACAATAAAAATACAGGAAAATCTTTTAATAGCTGTCGTTTGGAGCTATTTAACAATCACTATATAGTCCTGGGGGACGTGGCAAAAAAAAAAAGTGTCTCATATTTCATACTAAGGTTTGTCCTTAAAAATGCACGTCTGCCAACATATAGCCGATGGAATACAAAATGGCGGTCATGTGAAGATAGAAGATTACTCTACATAGGTTGTAAGCCTATATATATATATAGAGAGAGAGCTTACAGATATATAAAGCTAACAACCCCCTCAATTTATATTATATACATTACAATTTTAAGACATGAAATCCATAGTCAGTTACCCCATACTCGTGGATTTCAAGTCGAAAAATTGAATTTACGATTCAAAAAGTTTATTTTTTTCGGTTTTTCGCTTATATCAGTGAAACTATGCGTTCTATCTATAATAATGAGATATGTGAAATTAAAGCTGACAAAATTTGCCATAGAAATGGTAATATTAGTTTCCATGAGATCCGTCTCCGTAATTCACTAATTTCAAAAAAACAAAATTTTGCATCCCATTTTTATCGTTATTTGACTCGCCAACTCTTTATCTTTTCATATTACGAAAAGTCACGAGCAAGAAAGTTGTTTAATATATTTTTTTTTTTTTATTATTTTAATGGAATTTACAATTGTATTACATAGAAAATACAATAAGTAAATGTGAAATTGATAACATGACATGTACAACATGAAGAGAAACTACCCATTGGTAGAACTCAATTGTTTAATATTAAATTTCCTTTAAGAATATTTATTACTTTAATATCTTCTCTTTAACTGTTCAAAGGCAAGAGAACTTATAACTTAACGATTAAATTCCGAAACTATACAGAATAACTTACTTTTCGCAATTTTCGTTATTACACAGCTCTTATTCTGTATATGAGACAGTATATATATATATATGTAAGCCAATGTATACACATGTATATTTTTTAAAATGAAATATGACACCTTTTTCGCCACGGTCTCCTGGTCATTATTAAAAGGCTTCGTAGCTTATGTTGAAAGAGGGCACGAATCGAAATTTTATTAGGCGCCCCCCATCACTGCGAAATCGGCTCATAATCTATTTTCTCTATTTTTGTGAATTATACCAAACGTTTGTGCGTGATCTCGGTCAAATCACCTTCATGCACCACCGTTGACCAAGAATCAGTACTCCCTCACATCGTACTGAACCCAACACCCTTTTTCATGGGTTGTAGTGGTACAGGTTCTAAATATACAGAAAGACCATGGTCTGCACCAAACCGTAACAGCCGCAGGGAGGAAGTTGCCCTGACCCCATTGGTAATAGTCCACGCAAGGCTGACGTACTCACACCTTATTTAAAAAAAAAAAACAATACTTAACATAAACTGATTTTTTGTAACAACTAATATTTTTACTTTCACTTACCTATATATGTAACATATTATATTCAACGGATATAATGTACGATACTACACTATTTTAACGGATGACTCCCCCCCCCTCCCAATTTTATGAAATTAAATTTGGATTCCCTACCATAATACAAAATCCATCTCAAAAAAAAAAAAAAATATTCTCAAATTTTAAC